TGTATGCATACAAGAACTGGGGTACAGGCTAGAGGTGCGGGGTGGGGTATGTGTATGTGTGAAAGGATTCACCAGAGACAGAGTGGGGAGCAGAACAGGCTGACTTCCACCTCTGAAGCTCTACAGGTAGCCTTCACACTCTGGAGTCATCAGGATGTCATTCTGACCTGCGAGTGGGCATGGTGCCAGGAACAGGAATCCACCCAGGTGCCCCTGCTCCCTGGGCGCCCCGCAATGCTGAATGGCCCCCAGGGAGAGTGCCATGAGTCCCAGTTGGTAGCAAGATATTCTTAGATGCCTACATGCCTACCTTCCTTCCAATAGGCAGCCAACACCCCTGTACTTTGCTGCCAGGAGAGGGATTCAGAGCCCAGGGTCACTTAGGCTAACAAATGAATGGATCTGTGTTTAGATGATGGCAGTGGCGGGGTGATCTTTGTTTTAGAGGCTAATTGTGTTTCCTGGAAAGTCTCTGCCTTTACTTGAGAGGCGTTTAATAAAACCACTCATCATCTCAAAGCAGAAGCCAATAGATAAGTGTTTGCCTAAGGAATTACCATTATTGTCATTCCATCCTCTTCCTTATCAACAACCTCAACTCCAGTCATGACAGATTTGATTAAAAAAAAAAAAAAAAAAAGAGGCCTTTCGAGGACTTAACACCCAGAGGACTCCATGTCTCCTTCCCTGTCTGTCTCCCTAATTTCAGTGAGTCAAATTTTCCTTCCCATCTGTTTGCTTTTTCGGCACTTTATACAACTGTCTGGGCTCTTGCGTTTTGCTTTTGGTGGTTGCTCAGCTCTGCTGCTTTCCCTCCTGAAGCTTCTCCTTTGTTCTGGCAGCCCCCTCTCATCCGCTGGGTTCCAGTCCTATGCAGTGTCAGAGGTGGGTTGTGGTTTCAGCCAGCGTTTTGTTGCCTGGCAATATGTAACAAGAGTCTCTGGGAATGTTGCTTCCTATGAAGCCAGCCAGGGCCAGGGTGCTGGGATGGGGACCCCATGAGGTGGTGAGAGGAGGGGAGAGACAGACAGGCAGACAGATGGGCTGCCATGGTGGTTCTGAGGGAGCTGGTGTTACTCCTTGGTGATGACCAAGCCCCAGCTGACCCCTCCTGTTCTGTTCAGCAATCCCAAGTGCTCAGTGGTCAGACACCTTGGCTCGGGGCTCCTGAGGGCTCTGTGTCACTTGCAGGTGCCTGCTGTGGCCACGAGAATGTGGTCCCTGGGTGAAGGTGGCACCTGAGCTGAACTCTGGCTTTCTCTTGTTCGCCTGGGATGCTCAGGCCTTCTGTCTGTGGAGAGGCCTGGCTCCTGGGCTTATAGTCACAAGCTCCCCAGAGATGGGGCAGTGGGGCCAGGACAAAGTGTGATTTAAAAATTCAGCATTTAACTCAGAGCTAGGAGGGAATTTGGAGCTTATTTAACTCAGTCCCCACATTTTACATCTGAGGGAACCAAAGCTCAGAGAAGGGAAAAGACGTGTCTAGAGTCCCACCGCTAGTTGGAGAGAGTCTGAGCTCCCAGTCAAAGGTCTTTCTCCTGAGGCAGATCATCCCTGATGCCATGACCGGTGCCTTGTGGGTAGACAAAGGCAGTGCGTGGCGAGAAGCACAGGGGCTTGAGCCGTGGCTCTCCCCTCTCTGGCCTCCATTTCCTTACCTGAGAAGAATGAGGTGTATGAGGTTAGAGGTAGCCACAACACTCAGTGACTCCCAGAGACAAAGCAGACCCAATAGGCAAAGCATGTCCTTCCTAGTCTTGTATGTCTGTGCCTGTTCTCTCCCTCCCCTAGAAAGGCCCAGAAGTTGAGCAACCCTGGTGTGCTCCCAAGGACACTCATCATTGGGTGACTTGGAGCAAGCCTCCTGGGAATCCGTGTCTCTCCAGACTGGAACCCTCCAGGCTGCAAGGAGGGGAGCCGCAGCTGCGCAGTTCCCTACCTACCAGCACCCTGCCCTGTGTGGGCAGTGGGGAAAGAAGAAAGTTCTCAGAGAGCTACAGTCACGCAGAGCTGGAAGGGGGCCTGAGGCACCCGTGCCCTGGGCTCCCTCATTTCTCAGATGAGCTTGTGGAGACCCAGGGCTACGAGTGCACTGGCTGGTGCTGAGGGCGTTTCTACGTTCTCCTCAGGCCCTGCAGAGGGGAAGAAGCTCCAGGTGGGTTCTCTCCTGTTTGTCTTGCTCCTTCTTTTCTTCCAGCAAGACTCTCAGTTCAAGAGGCAAAAAAAAGGAATTGCGATCCTAGGGCAGCCTCTCCCCAGCTGAATCCCTTCATCTGCTCCTGGGACCGAGGAGAGCAGTAAGGAGGGCCTGGCTTACACCCCAGGACATGAGCCTTTCCTTCCAGCTGCTGCTCTCATAGATCTTGGGGTGTGTCACTTCTGGAGATTTAGAAGTTCCTCCAGCAAGAAAGCCACCCCCCGCCCCTTGAGGGGAAAAATTGGGTGTATGCTGGCTGTCTCCATTTTGTTCTTCACATAGTTCTGAATTTCAGGCTTAGCATTATTTCTGATGAGATTCAGGGCTTCGTCAGGTGGGACAGGTGGACGTGGGCCAGCCCCTGAGACCACGCCTGGCCCAGACTTGATCACCCTTCATGTGACCAGAGCCCACTTCCAGAAATTCGAGGAAGTGGGCCACATGGACACCCAGGTTTGTGGGAAGAGGTCGGAGGCACCCCCTTTTCCACGTCCAGACCAGGGTACAGCCTGCAGCTCCCTTGAGCGTGGCAACCCTTTTCCCCAAGTTCCCATATTCCCTCTGCCAAGTCTGAATTCTTTCCATTCCCTCTGGTATCTGGGGGTACCCAGATGTACCCCTCCTTCTCTAAAGTAGGAGAAGCTGTCCAACCAGCCAGAGCCCCCACGTCCTGTCCTGGAAGCCCCATTTTCCTGGGAAACAGCAACAAGAAAAGTCCTTTGCAGAGTATTTCTTCCATCTTGTTTCTCTTTGTGCTGGTCACGGGCGGGCAGCCCCCACCTCCCTGTCACACTGACAAGGCCCAGTGAGACTGCAGCTCTGTGTTCTCCTCAACAGTTGCTCTTCTGTGCTGCCTACCTTTCGTTTTTTCTGGAAAGCCTAACTAAGAGACTAGACACCCTTCTTCACAGGCTCCAGCCAGGACCACCGCCTGCCCCGCACTGCCCTCCAGGGGGCGCCATGCACACTGCTAGCTCTGTGACTGGCCTTTAGAGTTGCACCCTCCCAGCCCTGGCCCTGGCTTACCGCCTTGTGAAAGTGACTCAGTGTGATACCCATGCAGGATCAGCTACCCGAGAAAGGGAGAATCCCCAGCAATCTGGGGATTGCACCCACTTCTTCAAAGGCTTAACATGGTGAAAGATGGGACTCTCAAATTAGGCCAAGTCAGCCTGGCACTCAGCCTCTGTCCCTCAGTAGAGGTTTATTTTGTGCAGGTCCCCTAATCTTGCTGAGCCTGTTTCCAACCCCAGAAAATGGGGAACGGTAATTATGAATCTCATTCTGAGGACTGAATGAGCTTGTGTGCGTCAGGTGTGGCCCGGGTGGGATCAGGCTGGCACTTGGCAAATGATGATTGTTATCTCTTAAAATGGGCTAACTAACCAGTCCTACCTACCTCACAGAGGTGGTTCCAGAAATAAAATAAGATGAGAGGTAGATAATCTCTAGGTCTTTGAGGAGATATTTTGCACGAATCTCAACCACAGTTATTCTTGTCTTTCTATGTAAAAAGCTAAGAATTGTGAAGCCCCTTTGCTTCCGAGTCACGCTCTGTTGCTGATGGCAGACGTTGGGGAAAGGCTCAGCAGGAGAGAGAAAGCGCACAGGCTGCAGACCTGAGGCCCCAGGCAGGTGGGACTGAATGAAAACCAAAGACAGCAGCTATGAGAGAAAGCTCGCAGTGACTTTCAGACAGAAAGCAGAGGCCCACAGAGGGGAGCAAGATGAGACCAGGTTTGAATGTCACCTCCCCCAGAGGTCTGTTTCATTCACTGCCTCCTGTAGAAGGTTTTCTGAACTGCCTTTAAAGTACCTGGTAACCTGGGCTGTGGAGAAGGGTGAACCCACTGCTAGACCCTGTGGTAGGAGGTAACAGAGAGGAGTGCAGGGCTTAAGGGAGCTCAGCAGAGAGCACTTAATCCCGGGAGACTTTCTGGAGGAGGTGATTTCCCGGGTCCGAGAGGACTCCAGGCAGAGGGACCACCATGAGCAGGGGGCTGGGGAGAGAATACCAGTTGCTTGCCAGGGTGTCAGCCTGCAGTGTCAGCTGTGCTCCTGGCTAGAGAGGTTGGCAGGGGCCAGCCTTATCACCGGTCTAAGAAGTTTGGACATAATCTTCTATCAAAGTCAACAGCTCCCAAACTTGCTTATTGTTTCTTTAATCCAGCGATGCAGGAGAGATGGCATTCAGAACCCTGCCTTCTTCCGTGGGTGTGCCAACGTTATAAATCACTTCTCTCAGGCTAGCTGGAGTCCCCGCCCCCTTCCTTTCCACGGGAGAGAGCAAGTCAGAGTACACGAGAGTGGGAGTGATATTATCACAGGGAGAGCCTGGAAACCACCCTGACTCAGAACAGCAAATGGTTCACAAATGTCATGTCTTCAACTGCTTAGTCCTAGATAGATTGTTTGGATATCCCTGACAGTCACACGGGGGCTAAGAACACCTTGTTAGTCTCCCCACCCCTGGCCAGAGGAGTCCCTGGTGGGTTTTGAGCAGGGGAGGGCCTTATGTTTTGGAAAGATTTTCCTGGTTGCAGTGTGGAATTGAGGGCAATGCAAGGGTGACTGTGAGACAGAGACCCTCGGGGAGATGGCTGTGGGGGTGTGCGTAGGGTGAATGCCATTTCCACCCAGGGGTGGGTGGCTGGGATGGAGAGTAAGGGACAGGTTTGAGAACAAGAGGATCCCAAACCAGCAGGGCTGACTTACTGGATGTGGGGTCACGGTGGAGAGAGTTCCAGAGCCATGCTCAGTGTCCTGGGGTGGCTGGGTAGAGGCGTTGTCCTCAGCTGGGAGATGCAGAAGGAAGAGGGGTAGCTTTGGAGGGGACCTGTCTTCTGGGAAGGGGAAGATAATGAACAGGGCTCAGGATAAGTCAAGCTTAGTTATTTGCTGTCTCCCCCAAGAAGCCCCGGGCCGGTAGCTGGGTCTGTGGCTCCAGAGCACAGTGGGAGATTGGGCCCATTCCCAAGGTCTGGGAGGTAGCAGTCAAAATCATGAGGGAACATGTGCCCCCAAAGGCAGAGGGCTACAGGCTGAGGACCCCAGGAAGATGAGGTCTTGTGGGTCTCCTGGCGCAGCCCTCCCCAGCTCCTGTCACAAGATTCTGACTCCACGGTGGGGAGGGGGCCCCTCGAGCAGGGGCCTGCGAAGCTTCCCTTATGGATCAGCGTCTGGCCACCCAGTAGGTGTGAAACACACATTTGCTCCGTCAGCCAACCATCCTGAAGCAGAGACTGGTGTCCCTGTGGGCACTGCTACCTCTTTGGAGGCGGAAGTCCCTTAACCCTACGCGGGGGCTCCCACTGCGGGTCCCTCCAAGGAGAGATGAGAAAGAGGCTGAGCCAGTGAAAGAGAAAATGAGAGCGGAGAGAGAAAAGGGGGGTGGGAAGATCTCAGAGGAGGAGGAAGGATCTCAGAGAGAGAAGAAAGAACAGAGAAGCAGTGGAAAGGAAAATTGAGGTGAGGGAGATGGAGCATGGGGCCTGGGGTGGGCCCACGGTGCCAGTGTGTTCACGCTGCCCAGTGACCTTGAGGGAGCGCTTCTCTATCCTCCCTGTATCCTGCTCCACTGGCCTCCCACCCATCCCAGGCTTCTCCAGAGCTAGTCCTCCACCCGGAGCACCCCACTGCCCACCCTACTCTAGCCTCACTCCTTCGGGTCCAGCGTGTTGTGACTGTGGAGCCCAGGGAAACTCCCTGCATGGCGCCCTCACGCTCCTCGGCACTCCTCTGGATTGTAACTCAACCCCCCCCCCCTTTTTTTTTGCTTTCATTTGCCTGCCTGATGTCCTTTCTGAACTGTAAATTCCATGGATTAGATGCCAAGTCCAGTGTGTGGTAAGGGCCTCACTCATAGCTGTTGATTAAATGAACTCATTCACTAAGCCCCAAATAAGCACCAGGTGCTACACAGGGTTTTAGATTTGCTATCTCATTTAACCAGCAACACAATCCCAAAATAGAGGTTCTATATGCTTTGTTTACCAAGGGAAAGCCTGCGATGTGGAGAGAGGAAAGCACCTGCCATAGGCCACAAAGCCGACAGGTGGTGGGCTGGGATCCCAACCCCCACGCTCTCGCCACAGGCCACCTGCTAGCATGTGGAAGACACGCTTCCCGTGGAACCGTGCTGCTTCCAAACATATTGTTTTTCTCCATTTTCATGCATTTTATTAAACATTTCCAAATCAGGAAACATGGAAATATTTTTTAATAAGAAAGAAAACATTGCAAATAGAGAAACTGACTCAGAAGGATTTGCCAGATGAGCCATCTGGGTTTTTCACTTAATAACAATTCAAAGAGGTTGACAGTGCTCTCCTTTAAGAAGAAAATGGACTGTGGAAGAAATGGCAGCTGGCTCCCCTCAAATGGTGCATCCATTTGTGAAGCTGTCGAGCAAAGCCTCTTAGCTCAACAAAGAGAGGAGACCCAAGAGAAACATGCACCGAGAAGCTTAACTGGCGTTCTTGTTGGGACTCCTCCAAGGCTGTGGAGAGGTTGCATCCAGATGTGTGACCCAAGCCAGATGTCCTACTCTTCCACCTTGGCAGATGTCTCTGCCGAAAATCGCCAAAGACGACAGGCATGCCCACCGCTGGGAGAAGCAGCCACGCCAGCCACCTTCACAGATGGAGAACAGCTGGTCTGTTTGATGGCAAGTCACAACTCGTTTGCCGGAGCTGCCGTGCTTTGGTGGTAGTGGTTTTCTCCCCTTTTAAAAATAACTGGAGGCCTTGCACCCATGCTGTTAGTTCTTGGGACTGGAAATAAAAGACTAGATTTAGATTTGCTGTGGAAAGACAGATCCTGGGCTATTGCCTTGAATTACCTGGTAGAAGGAAACATCCTTATTTTCCTAACTTCAAAGCCAACTCTTCAAAAATAGGACACTAGTTACAGGAACAGAGCTGGCAAGGGAGTGACAGGTGTCAACCCGGGCTCGGGGTCAGCCCTGAGTCTTCAAAGCTATGCTGTTCAGTTTTAAGATGTTTATAAGGGAAATTGTTTTTAAGACGAGAGGGGACTTTTGTGTGTGCCTTCTAGTCAATTCTCCTGGAGCTGGAATGAACAGCAGCGGCCCTGAAGTCACAACAGCCATTTGTTCCTCAGCTAACTTTGAATTTCAGTGATCCTCCTTCACATGCCTCAAGCAGTGCTCGAGTCCTCCTCAACTGAAGCTCACAGCACTTTAAGAAATGGCAATTTTCTCCCTCAGGCTGTAATCACATGCCCTAGCACACTGAGGGCGCTGGTAATTAGGAGTTGATTCCTTTGGAGGCCCAGGTGGAGGTAGAGGTGGGGATGGGCGTCACACCCAGGACACAATGAGAAGGCCTCCCTTCTCACAAGAGCTTCTCGGCTTCTAATACGAACTGGCACTTGCGGGATGCACAGAGCCGATGGCTGTGACCCTGAAGATGGGCTGGTCCTGCCCGACACACAGACACCGCTCCACCCCCACCGTGCCCTACTCACCACAACTGCCATTTTTAGAATCAGAAGAAATACTTTTCACTTACTTGCTGTGAGACTAGTTAGGCAGCTACTCTCTCGAGCGTCTTGTTGCTTCATTATCAAATCGAGATTACTGTCAGCTCTGCAGACCTTCTCCTGCTGGCTTGTGCTAAAGACAAAATGGGATCATTCATTTTCACTCATTTGTTTGATGAATATTTACTGGGCACTTGAAAAGAGTAAACAAAGCAGAAAAAGCCCTTCCCTTCATGTAGCTTATATTCTACTGGGGGTTGACAGTCAATAAACATAAAAAAAAAAAAAGCCCAGTGTCTGTTGTGTCAGGGCCACGTGTGCTGGAGGACAGGGATGCAAGAGAACAGGGATGCTGGGCTGCAGTGGGCCTGGGCCGGTGCCATCAAACAGGCTGGCAGGTGACTCCTTGCATTTGAGCCAAAGGCTGAAGTCCCAGGGTGAGCACCTTCTAGGGAGAAGAACTAGCAGAACCCCAAACTCCAAGACAGGAGTAAAGCTGGAGCCAGACAGACACCAGGGTCAGGAGGAGAACCAATGAAGGGGTGGCTCACGGGAGATGGGGCCCAAGGGGCCTCAGGGGCTTGAGGGGTTGTTAGGCCCTTTTGGGCCCCATAGAACTCTGACTTTAGTTCCGAGGGATACAGGAGAAATACAGGAGGGTCTGAACAGACGTGACATGGGCTCTTCTCCTTTTTGAGAGGAGCACCAGCTGCTGTAAGGAGACCAGGAGACCAAGCAGGGAGATCAGATAGGCGACTACTGTGCTGGCAGAGATGAGAGGGCAGGGCCTGGCCAAGGGTCAGCAGCGAAGAAGAGGGGAAGAGGTCAGGTTCTGGGTGTATTTTGAAGGCAGAGCAGTTAGAGATTTAAATTGCAAGTCACTACAAAGAGGGATGGGGCTGTGGCCAGCCTGGAACGACAATGAGACGAGGACAAGTAAAAGTAGTCCTGGAAGGAATGAAAATTTTCCTGCATGATGGTGTCTGCTGCCTGGTCTCCCACCACGTCCCTTGTGGCTTCCCATGTCACCAGGAGATGCTCCGGGGGACAATCCCGGGTGGGAGGCTCCTTGACCGTCAAGCAGAGGCTGCTGTCTGTATCACCCACTGAAGACTGACAAAGCCCTTCCACATTTGCTCCGGGTGGGATAGGCAGGGAAGACATGATGACACTCTGCTCCCTAAAGAGGAGACAGATCTTGAGACAGTTCAAGGTCACAAAACCTATGGGATGTGAAAGGCAGTCTTTTAGCTCCAGATCCTCTTTTCCTTCTGCTGTGCCAGATACACACAAGATGGTCATAGCACAACAACCAACCTCTCCTAGTGTGACTGCGCGCCAGGTGCTATTCTAACTGTCAAGACATAGCAGCTCATTTAACTCTTACGGTAACTCCATGAGTTAGTACAAGTATTATCCCCTTTTACAGGTGGGGAATCTGAGAAAGGGTCATGCAAATATTAAGAGACAACATCTGAATTTGAGTATAATCTGACCCTAGAGTCATGAATTCAATCATGACACCAAACACCCTGGTGGTCTCCTACCCGAGATAGTGTGCAGAGGCAGGGTGGTGCGGCGGTTAGAGACAAAGAGCTCACTTTGGCTGGGGGGGGGGGGTCAGGGTGGGATTTGAGCCATGTCTTGAAGGGTCATTTAGAAGGGGTCAGTGAAGACAGTGGCAGGCATAACAGGAGTGAGAAAGGTATATATCCAGGCAAGCTTGGAGCACAGCAACATTGAAGAGGAGGTCAGAGGAAGAAGCCCAGAAGTATAGTAAGCACAGGAGGAAACCACTGAAAATACCAAAGAAAGACAGTGTTTTGAGGAGGGGGCACATTGGGGGTCAAAGGCCAACAAGGGGTCAAGCTAAGGACACACTATTGGGTTTTTCACTGGAGAGTTCAGCAAGTGCAGGCTCCACGGCACCGTGAGGGCTGGGGTCTGACTGTGTAAAGCTGGTGAATTACTGGAAGGTGAAAACAAAGCAATCACTTGGCTGGAGTTCTGTAGAAGACCTGGCTCAATTCCTGCAAATTTCCAGGAAGCAAACAAGACCCAGGATAAATGGCTAGAACCTTCAAATCTCTAAGATCTGTGTGGAAAGAGTTGGGTCATAGCTGATGTCAAGAAGCTGAGTTCTTATTAATAGTGAGAACTGATTCAAAGTCCAAGGAATTTGGTAGCTATTTTAACAAAAATTTATCTACTGAAGAGAACTGAAGTCCCTTTAATGTGCTTCACTGAATTACTGGTGTGAACCTCACTTTCACAGGGGACAGGAGAAGCAGCAATCAGGCCATATTCATTCCACAATGTTTATTGAGCACTATGATGTGTTAGGAAAGATGACAAAGAGAGCTATAATGTAACTCCTGGAACAGAATAGAGAATCCCAAAATAACATCTCTTTTGCTTAGAACATATATGACAGGGGCAACACTGAGAGTCAATGGGATTAATAGGATGGACTGATCATTCAGTGGACCTAGGAGAATTGGCTATCCATATGAAAAAAAGTAAATCATATCCCTACCTCACACCATACATAAAATAAATTCCAGCTGAACTCAAGACTTCAATGTGAAAGGCAGCATTTAGAAACATTTTAAAAAAAGTCTTAAAACTATAGGCAGGAAGGGATTTCTTTAAAAATCATGCACGTCACTAATTACAAATGAAAAGGATGAGAAATTCAACATCAGTAAAATTTAAAATGTCCACTCATTAAATACACTATAAAGAAAGGAAATAAAAAAACCAGTCACAACCCAGATAATCTTTGCAACACACACTGACAAAATTCTTCCTATCTAGAATACATAAAGAAGACTAATAGACAAAAACAAAACAATGGTAAAATGGGCAAAAGTCATGAATGATATTTTACAGAAGAAGAAGCATGAATGACCCATAAACATGAAGAATACTATGCTTTTGCCAAGGAAATGCAAAGTAAAAGCATGATGAAATACCAGTGTACCCACTAGTTGGCAAAAGTGAACATTCCTTTCTGCTGGGGGAGCCTCATGGTGCCACCATTTTGGAAAGCAACTTATTATTTTCTAATGAAGTTAAATATGAATAGATCCTACAAACGCAGAAGTGTCCTAGAGAAACTCTTACACAATGCAGCAATAGTTATTATTAAGAATGTCTGCAGCAATATTTTTTGCTCATTAGAGGAAAAACCTGACAATCTAAATATCCATCAATAGGGCAATGAATCAATAATGATGTATTCACATGATGAAACACAGTACATCAATGAAAATACACTAAAGACACATAGATCAGCATTATGTTGAGTGGAAAAAAGGAATTCATTGTATTAGTTGTCTATTGCTCGTAACAATTTGCCCCATAACTTAGCAACTTAAAACAACAAACATTTATGATCTCACAGTTGCTGTGGATCAGGTATTCTAGGCAGCCTAAATGGGGACCTCAGGCTCAAGGTCTGTCATGAGAATGTAGACAAGCTTGCAGCCAGTGCTGTGGTCTCACCTCAAGCCTCCACCTTCGGGCTTCTGTCTCCCAGCTCCCTCATGTAGGGTGGAGGCTGTGATCCCTGGTCACAGGGGCCTCTCCACATGGTGGCCTCCTGGCATGGCCAGTGGCATCTTCCAAGGGCAAGTGGGTGATCCATAGAGAACAGGCTTGAGGTCACCCAAGAAAGGAAGCCATAGTCATTTTATAACCCAAGGGTGATATTCCGTCACCCCTGCCATATTCTATTTGTCAGAAACCAGCACTAGATCCAGTCCATCCTCAAAAGAAGGGCATTATGAAAGTATGTGAATTTGCCAGGAGGGCAAGGAATATTGATGACCATTTTAGAGGCTGCCTACTATACTCATGTAGTGTGATTTCATTTTTAGTAAGCTCAGCAGAACTAAATTCCATATTATTTCAGCATGTATACCAATATGGACAGAGAGAAAAACACGCACAAGATAAACATGAAGTTCAGGCTATTGCTTATCTCTGGAGTTGATGGGAGGATTGAATGGGGAGAACACACATGTGGGCCCGCAGGCCAGGGCTGGATGGTGTGTTCACGATGCTGACTTATTATGTGCTTCGTGACTTTCTGTTAGGTGTATTTTTTCTCTTCGGTTTTGTTTTGCGTTTGATATTATGCAAGTTAAATATGCATCCATTTTAGAGTCCATTGTTCTGTGGTATTTGCTGTCCTCCACCAGTTCTTGACATTTTTACCCTTCTCTGGAGGAACCGAGTTTCACCCCCTGCTAACTCATTGTAGTCCTCACCTTCATGTCTCTAAATAACACGTCTGTGTTGCTGTTTGTTGATGCTCTGGGTTGGGTATTATCTATTCCCTTCCTTCGCCCAGCTTTTCCTGTCCCCCATCTTCTGTCATAATTATATCATAATTTTGGTTAGAGCTGTAATCAGTATTTACATTACTCAGTCAACACTAATTTGACTCTATTCACAGCGAAGCCTTGGAGTGAAGTATGATAACTTTTCCTTTCTTGCAGGACTTTTTGTTCTTCCTGGTTAATTGCCATGTTTGTTCATTTACTCTGTTTTCTATGTATTTATCACCAATTCAACTCTAATCTAAGCAGTTGTCTGAGTCGCTTCTCAGGATGTTTAGGCTCATCAGGTTTTCTGTCAGCTCCGTCTTCTTGGAGGGACGTCTCCCCGAGCCTCCGCCTGCTCTAGTCGGGTAGGCCACTTCCACTCCTGAGCCCAGCAACACCCACGGGCCTCCCCACCCCAGGCCTTGGGCCTCTCTCCTCTGCCATCTTCAGTCTCCTGCATCACAAGGCTCCCCTCTTCTTGGTTGTCTCTTTTAGGGGGAAGCACGGCCTCCCATAGACTTCTGAGAAAGGGTACAGAGGAGGCACTTCTCTGAGAGCCGTGCCTGTCTCAGGATGTCTTCCGTCCACACTCACATTTAACTAACACCTTGAATGGCTTGGAATTCTGGTCTCCCTGGTTTAGAATTCTGTTTTGGAGATCATCTGCCTTCAGAATTGTGAAGCCTTTGTTCTGTGGCCTCCAGCTTCCACTGTTGCTGGGAAAAAGCCCAAAGCTGCTCTGCTTCTGTTTCTTTGTGCTTGTGGTACTCCCCATCCTCCCTACCCCCTCCTCCCCTTCCTCCCCCTCCCCTCCCCATCCTCCTACCCCCTCCTCCCTCTCCTCCCTTCCCCTCCCATCCTCCCTACCACCTCTTCCCCTCCTCCCCTCCCCAACCTCCCTACCCCCTCCTCCCCCTCCCCCTCCCTCCCCATCCTCCCTACCCCCTCCTCCCCTTCCTCCCCCTCCCCTCCCATCCTCCCTACCACCTCCTCCCCCTCCTCCCCCTTCCCTCCCCATCCTCCCTACTGCCTCCTCCTCCCCCCTCTCCCCCCCCATCCTCCCTACCCCCTCCTCCTCCTCCTCTCCCTCCCCTCCTCCTCCTCCTCCCCCTCCCCTCCCCATCCTCCCTCCCCCCTCCTCCCCCTCCTCCCCTCCCCATCCTCCCTACCGCCTCCTCCTCCCCCTCCCCTCCCCATCCTCCCTACCGCCTCCTCCCCCTCCTCCCCTCCCCATCCTCCCTACCACTTCCTCCCTCTCCTCCTTCCCTCCTCCTCCTCTTCCCCCTCCCTCCCCTCCTCCTACCCCTCCTCCTGCTTACCCTTCCTCCCCCCTCCCTGCCCTCCCCCTCCTCCCCTTCCTCCTCTTCCCACTCCTCCTCCTCTTTCTCTTCTTTTATTTCTCCTCCTCCTCCTCCTCCCCCTTGTCCTCTCTCCTCCCTTTCCTCCTTCCCCCCTCACTCTTCTCTATAGGAACTTCCCTCCCCCGCCCCATCGTGTTCTGAAATTTCCCAGTAATATTTCTTGTGTTCGTTTATTTCCATCCGCTGTGCTGGGGACAGGGGGACCTTGTACTAGAAACTTGTTTCCCTCAGTTCAAGGAAACTTTTAGTGATGGCTGTGACGTCACTCTCTCCTCCTCCGCTGGCTCCAGCTCTTTCTGAAGCTGTCCTTGTGTGAGTCGGCAGGCTGGCGCACGGATTTTCCCTCCTCTGTCATTGTTCTGTCTTTTTCTGCCTTTTGGGAGATTTCCTCTATTTACCTTCCAGCCTTCAAAGAAGACTCTTTGGTGCAGCATGCCGTTCTGTCTCGTGGGTCCACACGCTGACGTTCTCTCTCTTGCAATGTTAATACAGCGTTTTGTTCAAGAGTTCCTCTCCGTGAATGGTCTGTATTTGATCCAAGGTTCTTTTCTTTGTTTAATTGACTGATTTAGTCTGTGTCTTAATGTTAGAGACTTTCCACAGATGTCTGGGGATTCCTGGTTGTCTGCTTATTTTTAAAAGCAACGGACAGAAACGGTTAGTTACAGAGGGATTGAGGAAGGAGCAAAAGTCATCCACCGTTTTTACCCAATCATACTGTCACTCATATCTATCACTATTTCCTAACATTATTTCCTAATATTAAAAAGTGATAAAAACATAGTCCATACCCTAATGACACATTAATAATTACCCTTAAAACACACACACACACCCCTTTTCTAATTCCTTAACCCTTAAAGAAAAACTTGGAACTGTATTCCCCCCCAAATTCTCTAATGCAAAAAATAGCATGAGATTAGTACGTGAATCTGTGACAGGTGTAAACCACTCTAAAATTGTGAATAGGTTTGGAAACACATTCTCTCTGCTCTCCACTCCCACAGTCCTGAATCACCAGCCCGGCTGTCATCACTTCCTGCCTGGTGAGTCTCACACGCATGTCTTATCTCCATGACGATGCTCCAAGCCACTGGCAAGTAGGGTGCATATCCAGGTCTTCTCAGCATGTTCCGTTGCCCCCCGAGAAGGGGATCATCAAAATGATTGAAGTGACAGTGAATGATGTTCTTACAATTGCTTCTCCTCTCCTCAACACACACCGCACCAACAGTCTTGCAGCTGCAGTCTGCAGCCCATCCCTCTGGGGAGAACTGGCCACCACCATTTGGCATAGGCCCGGAAGCCAGGGTCTGCCACCACCCCTCCCAGCTGGAGATCAGCACGTGGGAATCGGGGACTGAGGTGGCCTGAGGACCTGGCAGGGCCCAGGGCTGTGGGAGTGGGATGGGAAGGGCATGTCAGAGCTGGGCTGGGGCTGGCACTGGGGCAGGGGCAGGCTACACTCCACCTTGGGGATCAGAGTCGGGCACTGCCTACCTGTGCTGTTCACATATGGTTAGACCACAGACAGAGGCCAGGCCAGCCTGGGAGAAGAAAGCTGACTGCAAGGAGCAGCCCTCCAAGATGCCCTCAGTGCCACTGTGGAGCCAAGGAGAGTGGGGAGGATGGGGCAGGCATTCCACCAGCAGTGCTTTGGGGAGGGGCTGCCTGCTCTTCAGATGTCCCCTGGGGTGCAAACAACTATGAAAAGGCTACCGCCCTCTGCTCTGGTTGCTGGTAAAGGATTCAAGTGGGGCTGGACAGGCCCCAGTGATATGCTCCCTGGGTCAGCTGGGACCAGGCTCAGATAGGTGACAAGGGCTGCTGCCTGCACCTCCCTCCTGATTCTATACCCTTCTCCACCTGCAACCCCACCTCTGTGTTCGTTCCATCTTTTTAAATATCCTGCCGACCACCTGCAGACCTCTGTTCCCGGCAGACCATGCATCTTGTCATTTCTCCGCACAAAACTACGTTCAATTCCGTGGCCTCTGGGACTAAATCCAAACCTCTTATCCTGAATCGAAGATCTTCCAAAATCAGGACCCCTGGTTTGAAGCTAACTCATCTGCTGTTAGAGACCAGGTGCCCTCCTCTCACTAAAACTCCTTCACAATCCCCAAGGTGCACAGTGCTCACTCCACCTCCTTGATGCCTGGTGGAGTGGTAAAGGGAGCACGGATTTTGCTTCCATTTTCTCCTGTGTGTCCTCAGACAAGCCACTTAATGTCTCTGTGTTTCCAGTTGCTCGCCTGTAAAATACTTATAGGACATTGTGAGAATCAGAGTGTTTGTATATGAAGCAGCCGCGCGTGGGCGAGACAGTGTGGCTCCTGCAATCCCCTGCAGTTAAATGTGCCCTCATGTTCCCTGACTCACATGCCCTCCATCTCTTTTCTGACAACAGAATGTCTGCCTCCTTCTAGGCCTAACCCCAGATGCACCTGTACCTGCAGCTTTCCCTGCACACCTGAGCTAGAGGATAAGGGGAGGGAAAGCAACATTTGCCAATTGTCCAGACCCTGTGCAGGCATGGAGGGCACTGAAGATAGTAGCTCGTGCTTTCTGAGGGTCTCCACATGCCACATCCTGTCTCAAGCAAGTCCCATGTGCTAATTCTATAAGCCTTTGGTAATGCAGTTCTGTTGATTAAGATTCCCAAATGGCTTTCTGCTCTACACAGCCCCGTTGGTTTGGTCTCCCGGCCCTGTCTGACCTTTCCTATCCAGTGGCCTCCAAGAAGCTCAAGGAGTAATGTCCCTGCAGGATAGAATGCAGAGGCCCTTTCATGTCAGTCAGGCTGAGACTGTTAGAGAGCGTCTTGAGGAAAGATCCACCTTCCCCCTCAACCCATCCCCGCCCATCTATCTGCCCCTCTGGAGTCCAACTCTGGGCTTCCTGCTGCATGGAACACCCTTCCCCAGGCCTGCCTGGAAAGCTCACACCTCTGACTAACTGTTCTACCTTTGGGTCAAGGTCATGGCCTGCACCTCCTGTCTCCGTGGTCCTTTGTCCACCGCTTTCAACCCTTTTGCAAACATCTGCATCTTGCAGAGCCCTGTCCCCTGGGCTGAGAGCCCTGAGGTCAGGGGCTGAGTCCTCTTGTTTTGTGTTTCGGAGCCTGGCACACAGGGGCTCGGTGTTAGGGGCTGGGGGGAGAAGGGTGGGAAGGAATGGCCATTGGGCAGAGGGAATGGTGGTAATAAGTTTCCAAGTGGCTCTTCTCAGGATGGGGGAGCCACGAGCCTCTGTCCAGCTCAGAAGAAGAGGCTGTCCCTCTGCAGAGACCCTAGCCTCTCTCAGAAATGGCTCCAGGCCAGCTCTGGCCGCTGCAGCCCTCCAGCCCACTCCAGGAAGGTGCCAATCTTTGGGATCCATGAACCTTCCTTCAGGAAATTGCTAAATGTGCTTGGTGATTTTTTCTGACATTTTCCCTGTTTGTGAACTTGTGATTTCAGATTAATCACATCCACATACATTTTGACTGTCTACTTGGAAGGGGAAATCTAAATTTTATTACTGCATGATTTCATCCAAAGCTATTTTACCAACACCAAAAGGATGGCTATAATATGGCATAAATCATGACAAAACATTTACCTCTGGGACCCAGCTCACGGCGGGGGGTGATGGGGAGCTGCAAGCTGGAGCTGGGTGCGCAGGGTCTCAGTGACTGGGATCTGGGTGCCACCATCGCGCTGTCCCCACCTCAGCAGACGGCATTTCCTTCTCCCTCCAGGTTTGCCTCAAGCCTTCACTCCAGCCACAGTGATGCCCTCAACTAACTCCTGTCTTCCCCTTGGCAGGTACCATGACCAGCAGGACGTAACTAGTAACTTTCTGGGTGCCATGTGGCTCATCTCCATCACATTCCTTTCCATTGGTTATGGGGACATGGTGCCTCACACGTACTGTGGGAAAGGTGTCTGTCTCCTCACTGGCATCATGGTGAGTACCTGCCTCTGCCTGTCACCCTGCCCCCTCCTCACCAGGAATAGAGACCTTTCTAGTGAGCTCAGAGGGGCCTTCCTAGTCAGGAGTGGGGCCAGCTGCTAGTTGCCAGCCTGCATACCTGTCCCTGCGCAGAGAAAGGCCCCAGCCCCTGGGACCCACATCTCAAAGAGTTTAGCTAGAGCTCAGAGGCAGGGCCTGGGGAGGAGCACTGAACTGGGCTTGAGACCGTGTCCCTGACCGGGTTGGCCATTGGTTTGGGTCCTGGTTTGACTTCATGGCCCTGGGCCAGCTCTGACTTCTTCAGACTTCGGCTTCCACATCTGCATGTTGAGGTGCTGGTCTTCCCTGGGGTGTCCTGCTAGCCCAGTCCCATCCCCCACGCTCCCTGGGTGCCTGGCCACACGCTGCATCTCTTCAAGGTATATTTCTCCCACCCATTAGCCTGGCCACTCCCGTGTTGGCCCATCACAGCTCAGTGTATGAGAGGGACGTGGAGGCTGAGTTCCCTCCACCATCCTTACTGTGGGTACGTAGCCGGTGGGACCTCAGCATCCTCAACATAGATGGGGATGGAGGCTACTCTGCCCTCCTCACTGGTTGGTGGTGAGGATCATGTGGGCAGAGAACTCTTCCCTGACCTCGGTGCTTCTTCACCTGTCAGTTTTTAGAAGAGGAAACTGAGGCTCACCCTAAGAAGTACCCTGGAGGGAAGCTAGGGTGTGAGGATGGACAGAACGGTTGTAGGTCTCCATGGCGGGGTACTACAGCTCTCCGCGGGAAGCTCTTTTGACACCCCTGTCATGTTTCCATGAAAATTCTTCCTCTCAGTGTGCCCAAAGATGTCATGTTTACCCCCATTTCTCCAGGGAAAGGAAAAAGAGTCCCACCTGCAGAAGAAAGACCATTAACTCCTCCGCAGTGGGGGACGGCCTCTCTCCCTGCCGCCACCACCTGGTGGCCTCCTGGGACTGACCTCAGTGCCAAAGCAGCCAGATTCAAACCGCTGAGAGCAGGGGTCAGCACCTGGGCTGCAGGCCTGTGAGCAGGAGGGGTCCAGAGCTGCCACGTCAGGGCCAAGCACAGTTCTCTACCCTTTTCAACTAAAATCCAGGGCATATTAGCAGGCCAGTTCTGAAATAGCAGTTAATGACTTAGGCTTAGCACCGGGCTGGGGATAAATCACAGATAAGTGTAAGGCCTTAGAACAAACACTCCCATCGGTTAGTAGGAGTCTGTCTGGAGCAGCTCCAACTGTCACCAGGAAACCAGGGAAGGATGAGTCTTCCTTTCAGAAAGGAATGATACGCTGCCCAAAGGCCAAAGCCTTCCTGTCTTCCAGCCCCTCCTGGGGGCTCCTGGGGCGTGGGCTTTTTGCCTCGGAACCCGGTTCACCCAGCAGGCTGGCACTGCTCCAGTCTGCCAATAGGTGCATTGGCCCTGCTGGGAGCCTCTGTTATTTTTAAATCCCAGCCATTCTCCCTCTCAGCATGGAGCTGTGCCCATCCAAGCAGCCACCCATGACTGCCTCCCTGGTCCCCTCACTGCCACCCCTCCTGCCTTCTCTGACAGAGGGCAGGGGGTGGGGGGGGGCAGGCAGGACCCCAGGCCCGGCCCTGCCTTCTCCTTGGGCTGTGGTTTTCTGCACCCTCTTTTGCTCCTGGGTCTATAGCCGCTTCTTGGAATGGAGTGTTTTGTTCCTTGTGGAGAGAGGTGTGATCAAAGCAGAGAGAACAAAGTGATGAGGAGGACCCCTTAACCGTCTCCATATTAAAGACACCGCACATGCCTTTCATCTCCTTTTGAACAAAACCCTGCTGCATAAATACATCCTTCTCTATAGACAGGAACAGGGAGGTTCCCCTCTCTTCATTGTCAGTGTTTTTAGTCAAATTAAAGTCAGTTGCCTCACTCTGGGGTCAACCACAGTGAGGAGCCCCAGTGGCATTTTACTAACAAATGTGACTTTTCTAGCTGAGTCACTCCTTCCCCAGTCTTTGCATTGCTGAGACTGCTTCCCTCCCCTCCCCCGGCCTCCAAACGCTGTGCACATCTCTGGATTATTATTGCAAGTGCCTTTACTCAAGGTAGGGCTTCCTGTTTGGTTACCATGGACACCATGCAGTCCAAGGCAAGGCCTGTTCAGGAAGGGAAAGGAAGGATTTGTGTGTGCGGCTGTAAATAGTCTTAATCATTGTTTTCTCCCGGCAATCCCAGTAACGGTGTAATTATCAACCATTAAGCAGGGTATATAATTTTCTGAACAACTTGACATTGTTGGCACAGACCCGGTGTGTTTGAGAGATTTCACCCACAAAAGCAGATATATCAGAGTCCAGCATCTTTCCATTACAAAAATGTACAGTTAGAAGAAAGAGAGCGAGCTGTCAATATGTAGTGCCCGGAAATGGAAATGAAAGGGAAACGTCAAGATGTGCCTTTGCTGCCTTTTGGATCTGAAAGGCCTTGGGGCCCCCACATTGGCTTGGCAGGAACCCCATTCCATAGAGCCCTTCTCTAAAGCTGGACTCACTTGGTGGGCCCTTCAGGAGTTAGGGACAAATAGAACCTTCCAGGATGTCTGTTGGGAACCCTGAGCTTCTCTCTGAGGCTCCATGAGAGATGCTTCTTTGAACTGCAAAAGGAAAGTGATGATGAAGTAAAAGGTAGCACAAATTGAGTCATTTTGGGTGGAGGGGAAAAGAGGGCTCAGCAAGACATCTGCTTAATGTCAGTTTTAGAAGATGAGCTTCTCTCTGAAACACCTTGGTTTGAAACCAATTGATGTTATTTTAGTTGTTACATAGAATCTGTTGCAGAAACAGAATCCAACTGTAAATCCTCCAGGCTTCCCTCCTCCATTTGTCACTTTCATTTCTGTTTTATTTTATGCTTCTTTAGTTAAGAACACCTCATACTTTTCCCCTTGGGATACTTGTTTTTCCAGCTTCTAAAGTTTTCCAGCTGGAAAATATTTCTTAGAAACAAATGTGGGAGGATCCTTGCGGAGGAGACTCTGGGTCCAGATCTATAGATGAGTTAGGCGCCTCATCCCGGCCACCCTTTTCTACGCGCTGCTGGGCTCCGCTCGCCGCGTTCTATGGAAAGTATGACCTCACCAGAGGTGGGCCCTCTTCCTCCCGCCACCCTCCCCAGGAAACAGGAGTTGGACAGAGAAGACCCATGAGATTCAGTTGGTGTCCACGGTGATGCAGGACTTGGCACGTCTGAAGGCAAAGTCTGAGTCATGGATTTGCTCTAAAATCTGACCCCATGGAAGTCGTACCCACAGCTGCTAACCCTTCTCTGTCCCACTCCTTCCTCTCCTCACACGCCCCCACCGGCCATTGCTGAGATTCCACGCTGGGACAGTATGCGCTTGCACACACCCAGATCAACCGAGTCATTGGCAAGGGTCTCTTAAAACCAGCTCGCATCACACAAGCCTTCCCGGCGACTAACTTGAGCCTGTCACACGGATAAGCTCATCTCAAGGAAGAGACTCAGCATCCCAAAAGGAACAGGGGTGATCATTCCACAAGGGGAAAGAGCTAGACCAGAATCTTTCATCTTTCTCTCAAGAGTCACCGTTGACCATTAACTTCTGATTCGCCTTAGGCTCCTGTTCCTCCTCCTTCCTCTCCAGCTCCACTTGTCCGTCCTCCTCTCTTACTCTTGTGTTTCTTTCTTTCCTCTTTCCCTGCCCTGCGCCATGCTGTGCCAGAGGCCACACGACTTGTTTTATCTCCGCGTCTGCTCCAGATCTCTCTACACTCCCTCCTTTCCTCCCTCTCCTCTTCCCAACTCTCCCCCCCCATTCCTCCTCCCCCCACCCCCATGCAGACAGACTCTGGAGAGGACCAGCAGTCAGAATTTCAGCCCCTGCCTGCCACTTTCTGAAGGTTGCTGATGTCAATCCCCTCTTCCTATGGTTGCCTCTGGATGGAAAGGACCAAGTTAGTTACGCTGTTGGTGACTTCCCTTATTACATCCAGACAATGGATTCGAAAAGAAATACGGTTGAGAGCATGCACTGCCATCTATTCAATTTATAACTAGGGTTTAAGAGCATAACATCTTCTAGACAAATATCTACAGGGCGCTTGACATCTGGTAAGCGTCTTCTTCCCAGTTGTCCACCCTCCTGTCTCCATGAAGAAATTTATCTTGACTGCATAAGATAGATGTTCCTCAGTTAAAGCACTCTTCTAGTTAGAACCCCCTGCATTCGAGGGCCAAGAGCCATGGAGCACTCCATTGAGACCCCAGAAATTTGGGATGGTGGGTGATTGATTGTTTTGAGCAGGGAGATAGTTTTGAGCAGGTGAGCAGGGAGATAGTTTTGAGCAGGTGAGCAGGGAGATGCCTTCTTCAGGCTGATTCTGCCCCAGCTGTCAGGGCTGATTTAAGTAGAGCTTCCCTGGACCCAGGGAGAAAAGCAGCCATGGAGCCTATGGAGAGCCCTCTCTATCCCACGTTCCAAGGTGACATTTCCCTCTTTGGGGCTTGCAGCTCAAGCTATGTTTGGAACTCCATGCAAAGGAGAGGCTTACACTTGGTCTGCTTGAAGGGAAATGGAGCAAGCCTCTTCCCTTTAGGACGCTTTCTTTTAATTATGTTTCTGGTTATGGAGATCTGGCCAAATTGATTACAGCTGCAGACCAGGCTGCCCAGCTGCCTATTCATAGCCTTGAAAATTGGGCTCAGTGTCTTGCAGGAGCCCAAGGGTTTGCTCCTGCAAGACACTGACGTCACGAAAACATGACCGTGCTAAACGAGAGAGGAAAATGAGGGTAGAAAGGGAAAGTTCACATTGGCTTAGTTCTTTCCACTTTGTTGTTCTAGAAATGGGAGGCTGACTGAACAACCAGATATACCACAAACACAAGTTGGTTTTATGGGAGCCCCTATGGAAAACCAGGGAAAGTGCTGCCTACTCTGCCAGGCAAACCCTTACCCAGGCTGGTCTTTGTCAGCCTTGGGGAAGGAAAGAGAGATTATCCAGGAGATAGTAGGAGACTGGCCTGCCAGTAGGTACTCCTCCCAACTTTGAAAAAATATTCTTTTCTGTTTTTTAACACACACACACACAAATAGTTAGCTGTTATGAGCCAAAAATGTTATTGATTCCTTCAATCCGGGACCTCTGACTGTTAAACTGGGTTCTCTGGCAACTCTAATTACTATTCTATCTGATCTAGAGGATCAGACTGTTGGCTCTATTAAGCTAATCATCTCTTCTGCGAGTGGAGGCCCAGTGTGCAGACAGAGGGCAAACAGGCAAGGGCAGGGTTGGTGTCTGCTTTTGGAGAAGAAGTAGGGGAGGAGGGATCGCTCAGTTCCCCTAGTGCTCACAGCCCAGGGGAGAAGCACGGTGAAGAGGACTTAAACATCGGGAGATGTTTGTTCAATTAGCGCTCCCCCTGCTCATTTCCTAGACAGGCAAGCCAGTGCCCGGGGAACAGGAGAGAGAAGTGAGTCCCCAGGACCTGCTTGTACTGGCCCTCCCCTGTGTCCCCTGGAGTGGAGCTGCCCCTGCAGAATAGGGCCTCTGCTCTCTGGAAAATGCGGAGTTACTCTTCTATGGGTTCCCTCAAAACCACAGTTTGAGGCGGAAGTGCTGTTGTTGTCTTTAGAGTCTCTGTATGAGAGTGAACACTTAAGCCTCCTGGTGAAGGCAAAAAAGAGCCGATTGCTTGTGCTGAGTCACAGCCAAGATGTCTGGTAAAAACACCCAGCTGAGGAGTGAGCCCTGTCATTGAGTGTCCACGTGCATGCCAACCGGTGTCCCTCTGAGGGCCCAGTGTTGCCTCTTCATTAGGTTATTTTCAGGAAAACTCTACCACCAGAGGTGTTCCCATCCAGCCCCCAGGTCTTGCCTGGCCTTCTTTCCTCCCAGCCTGTGGGCTGGGGCTGGAAGTGGGTTGGGGCAGTCTAAGGGAGGGAGGGCCTGTGTGCATGGAGCCCTCCACCTGCCCTGCCCAGCCTGGCCAATGACCTGGTGATCGTCTGTTGCTTTAAATTCCCTGCTGCCTCCACCCCATCCACTCTCCTGCTCCATTTAGAATCCGTTGGTTCTCTAAAGACTCAGTCTCCCCAAGGTCAGCTCTGTAGCTAAGCCAAGAGCGTTGCCAACCCCCTCGTGGGCGTGGTAACCAGGGCCCTGACAGTTGCATGTGGCTGGGGAGCTCGGGTGCCCCTCCACTCCCAGAATCCCCGCAACGCACCAGGGAACCTGGAGCCTTCTGCCAGAACCTTGCTGCATAATGACGTGCTGTCTCCCCGGCCCTCTTGCTGTCCCCCACAGGGTGCCGGCTGCACTGCCCTCGTGGTGGCCGTGGTGGCCCGAAAGCTGGAACTCACCAAAGCCGAGAAGCATGTTCACAACTTCATGATGGACACTCAGCTCACCAAACGGGTAAAGCACCACTGCCCACATCGTTAGGGGGGAGTCACTCCCACATGGAAGCCAGTCAGGAAGTCGTCACACTGTGCAGGTCAGGACACACCTTTCAGTGGAGGGAGGTGGGCATGTGCACACAGCCTCCACAAAGCGGGCACCATGTCTGAGCACCCCTGGCTCCTGTCTTCTCTCAAATGACTGTGCCCAGTCCAGGCAACCAAATAATTATCCTGATAATTAAATCTATAGCATACAATGGTGTCACCCGCCCCCTCGCCTAATGGCTGAATAAATCAACCAGCATGAGGTAATGGTTTTGTTTGTGCTCCAATGTTTTCATGGTTCTCATTAGGAAGGGCAGTAGAGAGTCTTAAACATGATATTGGAAATGTATCTAAATCCAGTCCTTTAAAAAAAAAATCATTAATGACACTCATCACAGCAGAGCCCACTTTCCTAAATAATGTTCATCAAAACGCCACCATCCGATTCTCCCTTTTTGGATTTTCTGGATAATGTTTCTCACTTGTACCCTTATGCAAGTGGTTAAGGAGGCTGAAGCACTGAAAATATGCAGGAATGGGGAAATCATTTAGCTGCTCGAAGTCTGACACCCCACTGAATTGTCAGAGAAGAAAAGGCCCATTAAGAAGAGACAGAAATGAGCCTTCCAGGAGAACAGCAGGCCAAATGAGCAAGGCAGGAGCTGTTTATTTAATGACAGCTTTTATGGAAAATTCTTTAGAGTTGCAGGCTGAACGAAGGTCAGTAATATGATTTCCTGCAGACACCCCTTTTGGTGAGACGAGAGTCAGAACCTGGTCCTGGGGTCTTAGCTGCTGTAACAAGCCCTTCTCATTTGGAACGAAAGTGGATTAGGAGATTCATGGGCAAGCACATTCTGATTTGGGCTTTTGAAAGCCAGAGAAAATATTCAGTGATTAATGTTGCAGCACAGAAAAAATATGTTAGAAATAGAGACAAAGACTGGGAGAGAACAAAGAAAGAGAAAAAGAGAAAGAGCGCTCTTAGGGAAGGCAGTGGGAGAATGTGCAGTTGCCAAGGCCTCTCCAATTTCTCAGCAGAATTATTTATGGTGTTTGATTGTTTGGTCTTTGGTTACATTTATTGACTTCTTTAAAGGGCCTCCACAGATGTCAAAAGGAACGGGTACAGGCAAACGTGCTTGTGTTGTTGACATACAGATGGTGGTGTCTGGTACTTTGTGGCCCTGAACTCTCTGTTGCAAAAAAGAAAACACGGTTGGTGGCACATGATGGCAGGCTCAAAGGTTGTGCCCATAGGGAGGCCCAATGAGTTTCACCCAGCACCCTAGAACCCGTTAGTTACCCTCCTCTAGTCCCCTAAAGCACATGCAAAAGTCATGCTCAGTACTGAGCAAGTTACAAGTTATCAGAACATCTACATGGTTGCACCTCTTCTCCTGAAATAATTCAGTGCAGGAGTGAGGGGTCAGAGAGAGTGTTGCTCTGAAACCTTCCAGAAACTATTTCCCTGGAGCAGACATTAACATCTCTCTGTTTATTCTGGCTGTTTTGAAAACCAAGGATATATGTTACATTTCATGTTCTTCCTTTGTCCTCGCCATTTTTCATTCTGTAAATCAGGCTCTAGAGGAAAATAAAGGCAAGGAAAGCCGGTTCCCTCATACGACAGGAAAATAAACATTTTTTTCTGTAATATAATTGTAGAAGGAGATGAGATTGTGGTTGCTTATTTCAGTTTCTCAAAAATGATTCTCTAAAATCTTCCTTAAGTCCACTTACTTTTTGAAATGTAGGACTAAAAATCAAATCAACAAATATTTATTGCTCACCCATGAGTGGAAGGCACCTTTTTAATCGAATAACATCTCACTTTTCTGAGAACACTGAAATCTGTTGAAATGTCCCTTTACTGTTTAATATGTTTTCCCAGAGAAACAAACAACACAAAAGCCATGGTTCTTGCAGAGAGGGGATTTTCAAAGCTGGCAGGACCAGAACTCGCAAAGGTTCTTTTATATAATTTGATTGGCAGGGGACTGGCTGCCTGCTGGCCTGCTCTGGCTTCAGCTCACCTTGCCCTGAAGCTCTGAGCAGCCCACCTTCCTACCCCTAGATACCCACTCTCTCCCTCCAAAAATAGCCAGCTGGGGTGGCTCCTTGGTCAGAGATGCTAGGCTCAGTCTACTTTAAGGTCTCAGTGAATTCTCAGAGTGCAGATGATTGTGGAGTAATTGCAAACCTCTCAGGAGAGTACAATTAGTAGATTTAGTAGATAAAAAAGCAATCTCTTACAAATACATGCAAACTTAATTCTTCAAACTTTTAAGCAAAAAACAAAGAAGAGGAATTATAACCTATGAATCATAAAACTCTTCAAATGGTTCTAGTGTTCTCTCATCCTCCCTGTGTTGCTGTAAAGGATCCAGCTTATCCTTTACCATTAGAATCACACTATTTATTTATTTTGGGGTGGGGGGAGCCCGACAGCACACATAAGAGCTCAGTTGCTGGTTTTTCTGAACCCTATGGCTTTTCTTCTTTCACTTGTATAACTTGTCATCCCTGCTGGCAATGTCATTTCTGTATTTAATGCAATCAGACCTTCCCACACGCCTTTCCAGTGTTACTGCCATTGTTATTCTATAATTATAATTTTTTTTGCTAACCTCTCGGCTACTAGATAATATATATATGTAAATGACACATGGAGAGACTGTGGAAAAGATACCAGGTCCCCATCTTCACTGAAACACTGCGCATCCCCCAACACTCCACATCCCCATTGCAGGGGTCATCTGCCTGCCAGACGACACTGTGGGTTTTGGGGCCACCACAATGGATAAGAGATGGCCCCTTTCCTCATACCTTCTGCCTCTTCTTTCTGCAAGGCAAGGTAGGCTGCCCCGACACAGTTGGCTTCAGAGGCAGTGTGGACAGGAGATGCTGTTTGCCGCGTCCTCTCTCCAAATCAAACATTTGATTGCCCCAGTGTGTGCCGCTGGCTGAGGACTGTGTCCCCTCATCCTTGCCACTGGGGTTCTTGCCCCAAATTCTTCATCCAAGTCTAATTTCCCATGACATCAAAAAGTCAAACCGAAGCCAATCCCATTTCTTCTAAACTAACGCCTTCTCCTGACTTCTCTCGTCAGCTAATGGCATCTCTGTGCCAGCCTCCAGGCCTGAAAACTTTGTAGCATCTCTGACCCCTCTGCACCCTGGACCTCACAGGGGTCCCAGCAGTTTCTGAGCCTGCTTCCACCTTACCCTGGCCTTGACTGTCCACATAGGTGGCTTCCTCCAGCCTTCCACCCCTCGCCCCTTCCACGCCTTGCAAGGTGACAGCTGCATCTGCCTTTTCTTCTCATGGGCCTCCCTTAGCCCTGACCTGTGGCACTTTGCTTCCCATGGATCTTCTTAGCTCTGAACATGCCTCCAAGCTGCTCAAGCACTTTTAATGACCTCCCTCCCCACCCACCACACACACACCCTGAACAATGCAAAGAAAATATTTCTTTAGTTATGAGCATGAGTCAAAGTTTTATCACAATCCTGCTGGGAATAAAAAAATTATAGCAAGCAAATTTAAAGATTTACTCATAGTGAGGTTATTTTATAGGAAAAGACAATGGTCCTCATTGTTATACTGGAGGCTGAAAGCCTCTGGTTAAAGGCCTCTAGACTGACTCTAAAGGACTGACGGCTGGTCGACCCCACACTGGACTCCCAGAACAAGCCTTCTCGCTTTAAAATGTATCAGATAATCGACTGAGCAGTTATCAGGAATGCAAATTCTCCCTGGATGGAGAGTGTAAACTATATTACTCACAAAGGGTCTTTCCCAGCCAGTTTGGGTCTGGTTTTCCATTAACAACAATCATAGAAATGTTAAGCAAGTGAGCTGGAAGGACCCTGAGGGGTGCGCTGCTGCACCCCAGAGATCAGTAAGGCAAGGGTGGCCCAGCCATGTGCGACCAGCTGGGTCCCAGCCAGGGCTGCAGTCGGGTGTCTGGCAGGCAGCTCTCTAGCCATAGCCCAGTGGGTTTTCCAGAGCTCTTTGGAACTTGGCATGGTGGTTAGGGCCCAAGCCTGCTGAAGAAGAAAGCCAGGTTCTCTCCAGACTAGCTGAGCATTGCCTAATAGCTTTACAGAATTAACTCCATTCACTACCATGTTGCTATGGGGAAAGAGCTTCAAACTCCAACTTTGAACCACAGAACTATATCCTCCTTCATTCCCTGCCCCAGACTCCTGCCAACCAGAGTCTGGCGTCTCCGTTCTAAGTGTTCAGTGTGAGGCCAGGCAGAAGAAAAGCCTGAACAGGGAGTATGGACTAGGGTGGGGGAAGGAAGGTGAGAGGCTAAAGCAGGGTCATGAAAGGGATGGAGGCTGGGGGAGCCCACAGAAAGTCTGTGGAAGTGAGAGAGGGTTGGCAGAGGGGAGGAGGGGACACCCCTGTGGGTCATGGACGCCTTCAGTCAAATGTCTGGGGGCATGGCTGGGCTGTGGGCTCTCAGACTGTGATGTTTATCAGGCCCCAATTCATCGAAATCAGCCGCTTGCCGGGTCTGATGTGCCTTCCTCCCTCCCTGCTTCCCTGTTCTAAGCTCCAGGTAGAAAACCTCTTCCCTGAAAAGAATCCTTGGTGCATCATGGGCATACCGATGATTTCTTTCATGGGGATCCACTAGTGGGGCTTCTGGAATTCCCACACAGGCTCTCCGTGGCTGCTGGAGGATGGGGAGGACAGAAGTGCCCTCTGCACCCCATAGATCTGTTATACTGAGTGGCAGGTCACCCTGGCAGAGAGGGCCCAAAAGCAAACCATTGATGTGGGTGATATGTCCAAGAGCACAAAGAACAAACATACATGTTCTGTTTTATCTTTTCTTTTGCTGGGGAGAGGGAAAGAAGTTGACATTTATTGGGGCACTGGGGAGATTGAGAATATTCACAGCCGTGTATTGAAGCTCACTGTGGCTGGCTCTACGCCTAGTGTTTATGCATATACCCCCCAACCCCGCAATCCACACAACAACCCCATTTCTCAGGCAGTAACACTTGCATCACTCGCTGATTCCCCACCACACTGTATTTTTCTCTGCGGCACTTATTCCTGTCCTGTCCCTACAAGATCATAAACTCCATGAGGGTGGGAGTGTTCGGGTTGCTCATCACAATTTTCTCCCATCTCAGAACTGTGTCTGCCCCATCAGAGGGGCTTATTGAATGTTGTGTGTGTTTTTGTTTTTGTTTTTTGAAAGAGTAAATTAAAAAATTGCATCTCAGGTTCAATAACTGGTCCAAGATGGAAGATAATAATTCCATTGCCTCAGTTTTCACTGAGGATTAAGGAATAATGTAAACACAAAGTGCTTAGCACAGAACCTGGCACACAGTAAGTGCTCAGTAAATGCCAGCTCCCAGGCATTATTTGCAGGATCTTAGCTGGATGACTTTCTGGCCAGGCCAGTTAATCTTAGAGTTCTCCCTAAGCATGAGCCTCTCTGGCCCCACAGAGGGAAAGCATACCAATTTTTGTGCTTTCTGGGTTTGGAGCAGAGCAGCCAGCCTTCTGTGCACATGCCACCTTCTTCTGACCACCCTTCACCCATCTGACTGAGGCCAACCTTGCGCATCCCTTATCCTTCCCAGTTTCTTGACAGCCCCAGCACCCTTTAGGTGCCCTGCCCACCAGGAGAGCTCAGAGGGCACCTAATTCAACATGTCCCAAGAAGGACACATGACGTCCACTGCCCCCACCCCAGTGATGCGCAGAGCAATCAGCCAGTGAATTGGAGGGAGAACCTGGTCACAATAGCATTTACTGTCGACCTGGGAAAGCACAGTGCAGTTAAAAGCCTATTTCTTTTTCTCTTGCAGATATTGATCTACTTAGCTTTGTGCCAGGCTTTTTGCTGGCAATTAATTTCAGAGTCAGCACCAAAGCTTGCATTTAACCTCACTTTCCCAGGGACTCAGGGGCCTTCTGGTCAGACCCATAAAGTGAGGTGATGACTACCTTTCTCAGCTGCCCAGGGCTTCCATGTGGGCTGAAGTTCAGCAGCAGACCTGGACTCCCTGTTCTCTCATATGCTGAGTGAGGGCCATGCCGATTAAAAAAAAAAAATCGAATGTCTTTTCCAACTCCTTGACTGGAAAACAGGAAATAATTTTGTTTGTGCAGAGGTGACGTCTAGTCAGGTCTTTCTTCAGACCACATGGAAACCTTTTTCTCTCCGTGGTTCTTGTTTTAACTGTGCCATAAGCCATTTGTGTGATTCTGGCCCTCATACCCTATATCGGAAGCTGTTTGCTGTAGTTTTTAAAGGCGGTCTGGGTTAGATGATAATAACCAATTGTACAGTTTACTTACATCCACATCGACTCCATTTGCCATCTATAGTCTTCATCTGTGTCTTGGCTTCTTCCTCAGTAAAATTGGGCTAGTCCCAGTGTTGCTGTGAGGGTTCACTGAGTTCACATATGTGATGTCTGCTCACACGTGTACCTGCACCTGCTAACTATCAGCCGGTACCCACACACCGTCAGCACCATCATCATCACCTCCTTTGGGCCTCGTAAACAACCTCTTGGGGAAGGATTTATTTTTCCCATCTTACAGATAATTAAGCATTTATTCCTAAACTCCTTGATCACTAGTGGAACAAAGATTCATTCATAGGCTTTCTAATGTTGAAGGTTTGTTCCACACCAACCTACAGATAGCTGTCATTGGGTCCATCAGTGACATGCCAGGTGGGAATACTAGTATTCCAAAGAGGAGACTCTGGAAACTGGGACTCTGCTCATGATTCTGAACACAGGGGCAGGCTCTCCCCTCCTGTTTCTCTGTGAGGCTTCCGTGGAGGAGGGACACCAGGGAAACTGAGGAAATCACATGTCAGCTTCCCTCTCCTTGCAAAGGCTCTCAGCAGTATTCACACTGCCCAGAGAGAGGCTTCCCTTTGGTGCGCTTCTTTTGCTAGAAGGCTTCTGTTCATGCCAGGCCCTGGACAGACCCCCAGGGACCACCTCTTCTCTGCTTCCCCCGCTTCACCTGGACATGTACGATTTCCAGCTGCTATTCACTACCACCTGCTTCCTTTCAGTCAAGAAAGTACCAGAGGTGGGCAATTAAGTCACTTAAAACCATATTCACAGTGGATTTTTACTGCACAAAAAAGCAATATTTATGTCACTTAGACATTTCTGAGAAGACTTAGCTGTTCTTTTAAAAACATCCCTTCAATGCCAATGAAAAAAATACAATCTAGCCTTAGTAATAAATCTTTAAAACATACACACACAAAAGTTATCAGCCTGCAAAACAATGTTTCCTTGGCCTTCCCACACATCTCAGCATTTTAACAAAGTCCCATCTGTTGGTGTCAGTCTGAAGAAGCAGGCCTGTGTGCTCCCATTTTATTAAAATGCTTTCTGGCCAGTAACCCGATTTCTACTAGGCTGGCCTACTTACTCCCAGGCCTGGGGCCTGTGGGCCTGTGCCAATTTGCATGGCTGACAGAAGTGGGACCGGTTAATCAAAAATCTGTTTAACTGTGCTTAATAAGAAATGTTTCCTCTTGCTCTCGTTACTAATTGCTGAAGATGTCTGTGTTTGGATTAAAACTTTGTCCCCTGCCATCTGGAAACCATTGATATGTCTCAGCTCAGCCGTGAGCTGGGTGATATCAGTGGTTTCCATGTCAACAGATGATAGCGTCGCATGTGGAAACGTGTGATCGCCGCTCACAGCGAAGGAGCCAGCCCTGGAAACGACGCAGCTCTGGTTTCACACCTAAATATTGTCCCGATTTTCAGGCACTGCTTAGAAATTGTCTCAATATGCCAATTACGTTTACATGTGGAATTACCAAAGTATCAGTGTTGTTTGTCCATTTGGGGAAGGAAACACTGGACTTGTTGAGACCTGTGCTTCCATCCGGTAGGAGAGACATTTCCTCAAAGAGGACTTTTAAAATCTCCAGCCGATAGAAAATCTGTTTACTCTTTGAATCCAAGAAATGTGTCATGCGCACTTGACAAAGTCTCAGGGAGAGCGAGGAACTCTGCAGGCAAGGGCAGGAACCGTATATATTTATGTATTCAAAGGCTGCCCCAGGCCTCCGGGTCTGGGTGATAAGCCTGTCTAAATATAGCATCCGCAGCAGCAGTCGAGAGGCAGCCCTGAAATAATTAAGAAAGAAACAAGAAATACCCCTCGACTTTGGCTCCAGCCTGTTATGTCCAGGCCTGGATTAACAAGGGATGAATTTTAGTCATCCTTTCTAGAGTTCATGATTTGATTAAAGAACTAGATGATGACACAATGGTTTCCTTATAAGGTCGACTGTATCAGCACACCAAAAAACATCTGTCAACCTGAGAAAAGGAACATGATTGTGACCTGCTTTGTTTATTTTCCCTTAGATCAAGAATGCTGCAGCCAATGTCCTTCGGGAAACGTGGCTAATCTATAAACACACAAAGCTGCTAAAGAAGATTGACCACGCTAAAGTCAGGAAGCACCAGAGGAAGTTTCTCCAGGCTATCCACCAGTGAGTATTCTGGCTGCTCAGCACCAGATGCCCAAATGGGGGTGGAGGGACCCCGCAGCTCTCAGGGTCTCCCTGTACACTCAGGAGGCACATTCTGCTCCACTCAGCACACTCAGGATGGTGAACCAGACCCAGATCAGTGTGTTTATTCCTTTATTGCTCTTGCCACTTCCAGGCTGCCATGGAAGGTAAAAGCTAGAGTCAGAGCCTCTACGGACTTATATTCTGCACACCCCCTCCCCCCCACATCCCAACTCAAAGCAGAACAAATGGTGGTTAGTGCTTTCTTAATAAGAGAGGTATTAAAAGTATAGCAGAAAAGCAGAGGATGGAAACATTTATTCTTACCTGAGACTTGGGGAGACCGTGGAGGCGGAGAACAGGGCACTGGAGGTGGAAGGCACAGACATAGAAGCAGGGAGATGATCTGAGAGTAGCTGAAGTGACGGAAGGTAAGTATGCATGAGGATGAAACTTGGGGGCCTGGCAGCCCTTGATGCTGCTCAGTTGTCCCCCACATTCAAGGTCCCTGTGTTAGGTTCCAAAATCAAAATGGATGGCAGTAGATGTGGAATTGGCTCCTGGGGCCAAACCTTAACACATATTTGAAGGGTGTGGCTGTGGCAACTCTTTCCCACAGACTAAGGAGTGTCAAGATGGAGCAGAGGAAGCTGAGTGACCAAGCCAACACCCTGGTGGACCTTTCCAAGGTGAGTGGCAAAGTCCAAAGATGTCCCAAAGGGTCCTCAGACACTGGCATTTAGACATCTCGGGCGTGACTGCAAAGACCTTGTTATCTTCAAATTGCATTGCAGGACCAGGAAAGCTAAGGACAGTTTCTCCTAAAAAAGAATCAAGGTTCAGATGCTTGACATTTGCAATCTACTAGTGTGGCTTGCTGTCTTTTAAAACCTGACATTTGTTTCTTTTCTTTTTTAGTTGCTTTCCTTCTTTTTCAATTAATATTTTTAGTGGTGGTAAAATATAACAACATTTCCCATTGTCACGGTTTTTAAGTGGCATTAAGTACATTCATGTTACTGTGCAAACATCACCACCATCCATCTCCAGAACTCTCCTCATCTGCTGACTTGGAACTGTGTGCCCGTGAAACAATAACTGCTTTGTTCTGCTTTGAGTTTTAATGGTGTGTGTGTGTGTGTGTGTGTGTGTATGTGCGTGCGCGTGCGTGCGTGCGTGCATGTGTGTGTGTGTGTGTGTGTGTGTTAGAACTTGAGTCCTTAGAGGCTCTGACTCTAGCTTTTACCTTCCATCCTCCCCCCATCTCCTGGCAACCACCATCCTACTTTCTGTCTCTATGAATCTGACTGCTCCAGGCTCCTCAGATAAGTAGAATCATATTGTATTTGTCTTACTGGGGCTGACATTTGTTTCTTCAATTCAGTTGCTCAGGTTTGTCTTGGCTTGGAATTAATGAGCCGACCTACTAAATCTTTGTAGTATGTTGCTTTCCTCGCTGTCTTCTGAGGACTTCCTGGGGATGAGCTAGAGTCTGTTCACAGGGGTAAAGCCCGCTGACAAGGACTGAATTGTGATGATGGCGACGGCGTTGCCTAGTTCCCACCCAGAAAGATCCTGCAGTTTGCTGTTATAATTAGAAATTCTTTTCCCTCCATCTTTCAATCCTTACCACCCAGGCTTTCTGGCAGTGCATTGGTGGTGGTGGGTGCGTTTCTTTACTTCTCAATAGGCAGACAACCTACGATGAGATGCCAAGAAAGAGAGTCCTCCTTTGAGAACTCTGGGGCTTGACATCACACTGTCACCCTGCATCTCTGCCATAAACATGGGAAGACGCTCACTGCTCTTGCAAGTCACTGAATGAAGGCAGGAAGTCTGCACGGCACACAGGGCCAAGTATGGGCACCATGAAGAAAGGCGCCTTCTTCTCAGGCCTGCTCCTCACAGCCTTTTCATAGAAATTGTATATCAAGTGTACTGGCAACGCCAGGTTGCCAGAACATTCCAACAGATGTCAAATATCATAATGGAACATGTTCCCTGGGTAAGAAAGAGAAACTCCCTCAGGCAAAATAAACACCCTTTGAAAAGAGGGAGCCATCAGAAACAGTGAAGCTGTTAGGTTGTGTGCAGGCACCTCGTCCAGGGAAGGGATCACGCCAAAGTAAAGGCCCCTAGCCTGGGAGGGCTTCAGGCTGGAATGGGTGGCCTCTGCAGGTGGGTACAAGCCCGCAGGCTGAGTGATCTTGGAGGAGGGGTTGAGGTGCATGTGGGTCTCCCGTGATCCTGCAGGTGGGATGGGTGAGGGACTGCTTGAGGGCAGGAGAGAATCCCCTGGGGTCTTAGGTATGTTGATTAACACTCTTGGGTTCCGGCTCAGAACCCAGGGTCAGAAATCGATTGACAGTAGATTTTAAAATGGGGGCATTTATTATGAGGATAGAAGGGAGTCTCATTCCAGGCAGAACCTTGAAGCAGGTACATGGCCAGACTGTAGGAAAGAACTAACTAGAACTAAACATTGGGAGCCCACACCTACGAAGTATTCGCTCACCATCTCATTTATCTCTTTCTGTTCAAGTGTGTGCTTCAGCCTCCCTGTCTTTCTCGCTGTCTGGACAGCTGTCTGTACCTCCTGTCTCTGTGGCGGGCCCCTACCCAGAGCCCCATGTGCTTGTTCTAGGCACAGGTAAAGGCAATTGTCCTCCTATTGGTCTTAATTCTAAATTCTCAGAAAAGATGAAGAGATTGGCCAGTTAAGGGTCACGTGTCCAGCCTTGGACCAACCAGCTGTGATCCAGAGAAGTGGGGGGAGGCCCACCCTGAGAGGCTCAGGAATGGCCAAAAAAGATGCCTCGAGATCTTTCTTCTATGAGCGGCAGTGTTTCCCACCTCACCGCTCAGCTGACTGGCCACACTGGCTGATGCTCTGGGAATTTCAGGCAAACCAAACTTTCAGGCCTGCCTTTCTTTCGCACCACCCCGCCTGTCACTGAGATGAGACCCAGCACAGAGCAGACTGGGGTAAAGACTCACTGAAGTGTAAGAGGCTCATGTGAGTTGGGTGGAGGAACGAAGCCTTTAGTGATCAGGGAACAAATTGCCTGGAAAGAAGGGGTGTGGAGGGAGTGTCAATCAGGACTTCCTTGGGAAGGCAGTGGTGTCAGACCTGGGGTATCTGATGTCCAGCCAGTCTTTGTCTTTTCCTCCAGGAGGCTCACCCAAGGTCCTGGCAGTTGCTTACCATATTTCACATTGGTCCACATTCCCCCTGGCACCCTGGCAGCAAGCGACAGATCAGGCTGACAATAACATGTCTTTTCTGTCTGTGCTTCACCCCACCCCCAACTCACGCTTCCCCAGTCCTTAGGACCTCTCTAGATTAGGAAAATGGCATGTGGCTTCCAAATATTACTTTCTGTCTTGACCAGCTCTCTTACAGATCAGAGGGGAGGGTTGGAACTCTTTGCTAGCTTCATCTTCTTCAATTTAGGTTAAAAAGCATTTCTAACATCTAAGGTTCAAGTCATCAAATAAATACCTGTGACAATGCTTTGTGAACTGTGAAGGTGTTGCAAATGTAGTTCTGATGGTGAACATAGATGAGGAAACCAAGAAGCCAAGGGACAAAGTGACTGTCCCAAGTCAGGCCGTTGGCGAGTGACAACGCTGAGGCTGAGACCCAGGGGTCTGGGCTCAGTCGGATAAGTTTGTGGTATGTCCACAAACCCCAGGAAGAAGGTGCACCTGAGGAGGTTCAGTGAATTTTAATTGATGAAAGATGCACTTTTACTTGGGAAGTCACCCTCTCCTCCAGGGGATCTTGCACAGCTGGGCTGCCTCATTCCGCCTCTTTGCCGCTCTTCTGCTGCCCTAGAGGGTTTCCTCACGTGCCTTTCACCAGCTGGGAAGGGATCAGCCACCCTTTCATCCCCCCTTTTTCCCGGTTCGCCTCCAGCTTCTCATATTGTTGCCACCTTCCTTTATTCCTCTTTTTTTCTTTTCCTCACCTTATTTCCTACTTCTTGGTCCTGGAGCGCCCAGGAATTTTGCATCTTCCTGGAGTAACTTGACTCAGGTGAAGGGATCAGTGTGTCACTGGCACATGGCAAGAAGTCCCAAGAGTGAAAGTGGTTAGGGTGGGGTGCTGCAGCCTCAGGAAGCTCACTCCTAATGCCAGAGCATGACGACCTTCTCCTTAGTCTGATGTCACGTGTTAATTTTCGGGCAGAAGTGTGGCTGTCACGTAGATGAGGACTGCAGACCAACCCAGGAAGCCAAATTATAATCAGAAACTTGCCTGATGAGAGTGGAGTCGGAACCATGGGATGTAGCTACTGAGCGCTTCGGAGCCTGCTCGATGGTCCTGGCTGGAACTCAAGTGGTTTAGTTGTAATTCAGTGAATTGCAATTGAGGGATATTTATAGGTGGGGTTGAGAGGAATTCATGTGGGTGACATGTGAGGGGTGAGGGATAGGCGGACACCTCAGTTTCTGGTTGGGATCATAGAGTGAATGGCAGTGCCTCTCATGGAGACAGGAAACACTGGCAAAGAAGACTTAGGAAGGAAAAAGGTTCATTTGGCACGAGCTCCCTCTATTCAGCTCTCTTTTGACCTAGTTTTATGACTAAACTTTCAGAAGGCAAGTTTATTATGTTTAAATATTATTTTATTTCCATTCCCTGAGCACATCCCATATTTGCTCCCCTGCTCTCATGACCTCCTTCAAGTTCATTCACAAAATCAGTATGGGGCACCTGTTCTAAGGAGCTGTGCCTTGTGCTGAGCCCCTTAGAAGTCTTTTCTTCAGTCACTCAGGTCTCGCTAGAACCATCTAAATCATCTAGACATATGGGTCTCTCTGAGAAACCATCTAGATATATGGAAATAATTTGTGGCAAAAAAGACCTTTCCCACCATCAGCAAAACTCCTACCTGGGCCAAAGGATGGAAGGGATGGTGGTTTTTACCTGTGCCCATATTTTGCTCATTTGTTCTACCAACATCTTTTAATACCAATCACGAACACAGAGTCCTCTGCTAAGCAAGTGTGTGTGTGGACACTCATCATCAAGATACTAGTTAGTAGTTAGTTGAGCATCTCATCTCAAAATGTTGGTTGAGCATCTTCTATGTGCCAGACCCTGTTTTTTGCCCTTGGGATGGATCAGTGAACACAAAAGCCGAGGTCCTGCCCTCAAGGAGCTCACCTTCCAGTGGGCCATGACAGACAACTACAATAAGCAGAAGAAATGGCAAAGTGTCCAGTGTGTTTGAACGTGGTATGAATAAAAGGAAAAGTTGAGCAGGGTTAGTGGGATCGGGATGGGTGGGGACAAGTGTCCTGTTAAGCAGGATGTGAGAGGGGCTTTACTGAGAAGTATTGTCCAGGGAGGCCAGGGTACTGGCTGAGAGCTACGTGAGAGAAGCACTGATAGGGTGGGCCCCTGGAGCACTGGGAGACAGCACTGGTGCAGAGGTTTATTGGGGGCTGGGTTGCTGTCAGGGAGTGAGGGAGCAGGATGGGGCAGAGGGAGAGTGTGAGCTGTGATGTGATAGACAAGGGCCTCAGACAACTGAGGGGAACATGGGAGGTAGACTGGTCAGGTTAATCCAAACTGAGACAGCGTACCTCCTCTTGGAGCAGGCAGGGGAGGGGCTTGACCTCAGCGAGCAGCTCATTAGGCTGCATCCCTGACTGCCTTGTACAAGCTAGCACTGTGCTGACGGGAGAAGGGGCCAGTAACTTCATAACCATGTGTGGTTATAATTCACTCCTAGTTTGTAAGGAGACCGAGGCTCAGAGAGGCCGGGGACCTGAGGGAGGGTGCATTATTAGTGAGCTGCAGACTTATACTTGAACCCTGGCCTACCCCAGGGGGGCAGTGTCCATTTCCCACCACGTGCCTTCTCTTTCATCATTAGAGTCCAGCAGCTGCCTGAGCTGAGGCTGCAGGAGTAAGAACTTGAGGATGGTCTAGTGACTCGTTCCATTTAAGTAAAAAGTGCTGCTGCTTTTCCATTCTACATATTTTCTAATATATTTTTCTAATGATATGCATTACTTTTGTAGTGAGAAAAAAAAAAAAAAGGTTATGCCCATTTGAGGCTCCATGTCTTCAGGAAGGCAGTTTCTCCCTCCTGAAGGAGAGCAGAGCTGGCTGGTGTGGGAATTGCTCCCGTTGTAACTTGGTGGCCTGTCTCACTCTGCCTGTTGCGCATTCCTTGTGATGCCTTGTCTGTCTACACAGATGCAGAACGTCATGTATGACTTAATCACAGAACTCAACGACAGGAGCGAAGACCTGGAGAAGCAAATCGGTAGCCTGGAGTCCAAGCTGGAGCACCTCACTGCCAGCTTCAACTCTCTGCCCCTGCTTGTCGCCGAGACCCTGCGCCAGCAGCAGCAGCAGCTCCTGTCTGCCATCATCGAGGCCCGGGGCGTCAGTGTGGCGGTGGGCACCACCCACACCCCACTCTCCGACAGCCCAATTGGGGTCAGCTCCACCTCCTTCCCCACCCCATACACAAGTTCAAGCAGTTGCTAAATAAAACTCCCCACTCCAGAAGCATTACCCATAGGTCTTAAGATGCAAATCAACTTTCTCCTGGTCACTTTGCCATCAAGGAACATTCAGACCAGGGGACAGAAGGAAGAGAGACCACGTTAATTAACTAATTCGTGTTCACTCAGCGTGCTTGGTTCGATATGCCTTGAAACCAGAAATCTAATCTCTGTTTAGGTGCCTCTACTTGGGAGCGGGAAGAGGAGATGACAGGAAGCGTCGCCTCTGGCAGGGCCCTTGCTGCAGAGCTGGTGGAGAACAGAAATCCACGCTCAATCTCAGGTCTTCATGGGGGGGAGGGTGGGGGGTCAGATGCACTGAAGCAGCCAACAGCGATGTCAGCCCAGAAGGGGTCCCATGGGGAGGGGGTGTCAGGCTTGGGAGATGGGTTCCTCACCCCTGAGGTCCGGGAACACGCCCCTCTCCTTTCCTTTTGTCTAAGAAAGTCCCTGAGTGACAAAAGCAAAGAAGAGGTGCCCACAACTTGCCAAACAGACTTTCTTTCCTCCCATACCTGATAGTTAGGAAGTGTAATTTAAACTGAAAGAGAGATAAATAAAAAGCTAAATTTTCCATCCAATATTAATACCCATATTAACCCGTGTATTCGCCAGTGTGCGAGCAGACACACACACACACACACACACACACACACATCCCAGTCAATCCAGGTCTTGACCCAAATAGAAAGGGGCCTGGCCCCTCACCCTGCTCAGCATAGGTGTTCTCGAGATGTGCGTGGAGTTGGCTGGAACCCACACGTGGGCTGGCTGCGTTCTGAGCTTCATGGAAGATGCAGGTCCCTTCAAACACAGTACAGGTTGCCTTGCCCTGGCTGTGCACCATGCTTGGCTTGAGACAGATGCCAAGCCAAAACCGTTGGCATCCTGGAGGGATAAGCAGCCTTCTGCAAATAACCACTCCTGCAGTTCTCTTCTTAGAGCCAAATGAGCTGTGTTCCAATGGAGCACCTGACCAGGTGGCTGTATGTGAGGGAGGGGCAGGGTCTGTGCCCTTGTGTAACCCAGGGACACCTGAGTGAATAGTATTGTCTGGGGATTTGCTCAGTTGTGTGTGTCCAGCTACAGGTTCCAGTCCCAAATGTAAGGACTGCACAGGGTTCAAGTGTCTCCCCCAAGAGCCACTAAGCTGGGAGGAGAAGCGATGGTGAGTGGCCCGTGTGGCCCCTTCTACCTGACCTGAAACCAACTCAAAGCAAAAGATATGAGAACAAAGGCGCCCTTAGGGGTCTTGGTGGGTAAGGTAAGATGATGTGGATTTGTCAGTAGCCTGTTCCCACTGTGCCATGTCAATCTTGGTGCAAAAACTATGCTACTATCTCTCAAACTCCAAGAGACTTCAGAAATATCAACATCCAGTGTGGAGACAGGCTTTGTAAGGAGAGGGCAGGTGGATGCAAAATTTTTTCATCGCTCCGTAATCTGACCACACATCACATTTATGATGTGCAGACCATCGTGCTGTCAATTCCTTTTCTCATTCTGAGCTCTGTGATTTCTGCTTGTAGGGAGTTGAATGGCGCTGTGTGGAATATTTCATCTGTTTAGGGCAAAACAAAAGGTTGCTATTTGCACATAGTTGTCCTGTTGAGTTTCACTTGCAGCAGGATGTCTGCACATTCCGAAGGCAGTGTCTAACTGGGGAGACTTCTCTTCTGCAGCACCGGGCCTTTCTTCTGAGAAGGCAAAGAACTTCACACCCAAAGACCAGTGACCTTGAACTAAGTTGGCTCTTTCAAGAAGATCTGGGCTCTTGCTAAAAACCTTTTGTCTCATTTTCCTGCTGTTTCTCTTTATTGGACTCATTTTTTATGTGGATAACACCTTTGAATATTTCCATTCATTATTTTGCATACCAAGATGCCATATTTACTGTTGGCTTGCTATTGTTTTTACTTGTTCTTTTAACTATTGATTATCTGAAAAAATCCCCCTTCCTTTCTTTCTTCCGTCCCAAGAATGGTCTTCCTGTTTCCAACAGTTCAGGTGAACACATAAGCCGATGTTTAAACAGATGAAATAACCATGCAGTTTCTATGTGGCATTAGCTCCATCTCACAAAGTGAAGACCACTGAGAGGTCAACGTGCCAATCCTGATCATTTATGCTACATGATCAGGATTGACTATTGATTCTATCACTCTTTCCATTCTGCTGCAAGCCTGTGATGTGTGTGTGCACACCCAGGAACACATATAGGCATCTAGTCTTAATTTCAAATACATGACATTCAGGATTCCACTGCCCCTCCTCATGTACCAGAGTGTGCACAGCCTGTCATTGGTCCCTCGTGGTCTTCAACGGACAGTTCTTCAGTAACCCTGTCACGGGTTTACACTTAGATAAACCCTGAAGGCCAAACTAGCAACACTAGTAAAGGGAGGTATTGGAGTTATTTCCAGTAGCAGTAGCCACTGGCTTGCTGGGACACAAAAATGGGCGTTTGCAGTGTGTCCTGACCTATTGGTAGTGCAATAGCTCTGATATGGTTTTATCTTGGCTAAAGAACACTTGCCCTTCAAAAAGCAGCAATAGCAGAAACCAGTGATTGGCTCTGCATGTTGATCCTGCAGTTGTGAACAGGAGGCTGCTTGTCTGGACTAGTATTTGAGCTTTCTGTGGGGAAGTTGCCCATTCTCCTACGAATATAGCCCCCCTTTAATGGTTTCAGCTGGGGTCAGATGGGGTGGAGCTCACCCGGGTGTTCTTCCTACAGCCCATCCTTTGGATAAATCCACTGCACCTCAGCATCACAGTCCAGAGGGGGAAAGAGGGCAGGTGCATTTTCAAATCACGCATTCTTGTTCTTTATTTTCAAGTTTGATGGTGGAGTAGGTTTAATTACCTACTCAAGAATTGGCTATATATAAAAACTATTAATTATGGTAATTTCTCTCCAGTGTTGAATGGATTGAGTACACTCACACCTGGAATGCTGACCCAGTGACTCAGAGCTCCCGCTATAACCTTTCTGATCACTCAGTGGCAGGTAAAAGTACTCGAATATTCCCCCAAGTATCTATACACTTGAATTAAAAATAATAGAGCCACCCCCTCATCACTTAAGCCATATTATAGTGTCATGTACTGTAAAGTGAGGGATGTACTGTGATACTTTAAGACCACTAATCTCAGTGGAATTTCAGGACATAGCATCATGTGGTAATTATGCCTGACTAAGGGTTCATTCTTCCTTAGATTGAAGTCCAAAAAACGATCTGCACCTCTGGATCAAAGGCCACGTATGTGTGATCAGCATTAGTGGATAGTCATAGAGTGCTTATGATCTGCTCTTATTATTCTCATAGTATGGAACTCCATGACTTCACATCTCTAGAAATGCTTAATACAACCCAAAAGAGCTAAGAGGGGTGCAGCCAGGAGTCAATACTGACTTCTGACCTCAGCAGATGTCAGTGGTATAACAATCTCATAAGCTTAAGAGGTGTAGAAAATGTATGTGCAAGTAAAATCCAAAGTTCTGAGCAAGGGCAAGCTATTGCTATTGATTAAAAGCCAAGAAGGAATATCATTGAAGAAATGATTTTAATGTTTCAGACTTTCCCCCTTAGATTTTCAATAATTACCTTGTGAACAATCATGGAGAAAAGGAAAACTAGAGATACAGAATCAGAATAAATAAAACTCTAAAACTGGGATCCACATCTTTGGCAATTAACCTCAGACCTCAATTTCTCTGTACTTAAGATGAAAATAATAGTTAATATTTTAAAGTGCCAAGTATTCAATAGAATTTAAAAAATAGAATCACTACTATTACCCAGATAGACTCTTTTTAGTTCACTCTTTGATGATGCATCTGCATGCAGTCAACAGTTCCCAAAAAGTAATTATTACATATCAACGAGGTAATGAAATTACCAGGGAGAAATATGGGGTTAGCATTGTTCCAGGACCTCTCTCTTGCTTCAGTGTGTACCTCGACAATGGTGCAACTCAAAATCAGTGTTTCATCCCAGAACAAATGGTGTTGCCACCTTCACAGTGCCACAACTGAAACTCTATGAAGTCATTGCACTATCACTAGGTTACTGTTGTTTTTTTTTTTTTAATTGACTTCTTAAATCCAAGAAGTTAACTTTAAATCCTTGGGAAAACAAAACAAAACAAAACAAAACAACCATGTCCCTAGTTCTATCCAGTCATTCTGCTTCCCTGGAAGTTGCTTAAATGTAGGATCTGCTGGTGGTCAATTTGCTGTCCCTGTTGATTCCGCAGCATTTGGTTTCAGTACCTTAGACAGCTATTTGTGGTTTCCTGGTAGGCACGGATGAGCCACTTCCTCCCCCTGCAGTCTGTGGGCTTGATGACGCCTGGACAGTTCCCTTTCTTCTCTACTGCCACCAAAGTAATCATTATGGGAACAGTATCACTGATACACTAAGACAGGAATATACAGGGATCGCAACATTAAGTGTCTGCCTCTGGTATAGGTGAGTGGCCTTCACCCTGAAAGTGTGTGTCAGGCTGCATGATAAGAAATTAATACTAAACTCCCATCAGACAAGTACTAGGTAGATTTTTTACTGAAATAGAAGCTTATTAAAAAGTACTCAGTGCAATGGTATGTACAAATAGAGAAAAAAATAACTGTGATCTTTTTTTCCTACACTATTACTGGAAATGCCCAAATATGAACTGGAGTTCGTTCCCTCTGAACAAATCCATTGTCAAATCTTCAACGTGTAACCTCCAAATCTAGGTGCCGAGTGCTTTGTGGCAGTTGTTTACACACCTGAGAAACACATTCTGGAAGCTGTGATCTTGGGCCTGGACCATGTGTTGAAACAAACAAGGGACGTTGTGACCAACCAAGCTGATGGAGGAAAAGCACAAAATTCAACCCAACCATTAGGAGCCCAAGGAGATTGGGGCTTTATAGTCAATATATAAGTTAATAAATAAGTGACAAGTCAAATATGAGTCTGATTGGAACGGCCAATGTCCAGCTTCCCAGAAGAAGGACGGGGATAGACTGCCTTCCCGAGCTGTGTCATGTGGGCTCCGATTTTGAATCTCAACCAGGACCAATCCACCTTCATCAAACTCACTTTTTAGGGCATAACGGCTCAATTTTGGTCCCAGACTCTCCATCCTGCACTGACCAGAAGAGAACAACAAAAGAGAGCGACAGGATGTGAATGGAGGAAACATTTTCATGGCAAACTCAGAAATGGAAATGCTTATATTCAGAATCAGATGAGCTTCAATATGAATTTGCATCTTGCCTCTGTACTGCTTGCTATTTTTTAATGATAGGAAAAAGCATAACAGTTTATTTTAAATATGAAATATATTGCTATATTATAAAATATATTGTAACTTTCAATTAACATTTTGTATCAAACTAGTCTTCAGCAGGTCCAGTGTCAGCCTGCTCTCCCAACCACTGTTTCTGGGTACATATTACTGTTACTGATCGCCTGACACCCAGACCTAGGGTCCTCAGCCTACAGAACTGCCACACTCAAATTCTCTGAGACCCAGCTATTAGAGACAAAAGAACATTATTCCAAGCTTAGAAGAATAACTCTACCCTAAATCCTATCAAGCCATTTCAGAAGAGATTTTAAAAGCCATCACTCCTTTAGTTGCTGTGCAGAGCCAGTTTAATAAAAGTGCAGACTCTTTCTATATAAATGCAAAGGCCCCATTATGTAAATTATATGTCTCCAACTCAGCCAGCCAGTTTTTCCTTTGGCAATATCACAATTGGGCATAAGGAAAAGTCTTGTTCTCCTGTGACATGAAAGACTCGAAATTCTAAGCATTATGACTTTCTATGTCAGAGTGAAATGGGATTGGTATTCCAGTGACAATGAGAACCCACTGCACAGATGTGCTTTTATGAATTGGCAGTACCCTGGTGGGAACAAGATTTCCACATAGTTATCCACAACATGGAGCATAGCTCCTAAGGGAATGAGGGAGGAGACAGGACATGCACAGCAAAATCCAGCATGGAGCTGGGCTGCTTTTTCTGCTAGTTTACTCTAGCTGGGAGGAAAGAAAGCATTTTAATCAAGATGTTTTCCTTTATACACAAAATTAGGGGAAATTCTCCACTTAAACATCTTATGAAATCCATCCCCCTCCTTCTCTGGTGTAGCAGTGGAAACACACATACAAATGATCGCTTCCCCCCTCTCAATGGCCAAGGGACTACTTCTAGGTAAAAACAGGATGCGTTTGGTTACAGGCAAAAGTTTCCAAGAATCATTGCCCAAGGGGGTCTACATGCGATGCAAGCCAGGAAGCATCAGTGTCGATTTAACTGAGGGTGAGTAGCTCTTCCCTTCTGAAAATACCCAGATGTATTGATAGTGCAAAATAACAGACTTTCTCTGGGAAAAAGGCTGGAATCTTCTCAAGCCTCCACTCACTTGAGTTGAAATGGAAGTAAGACTGGGGCCTCAGTGGCCCTGTGATATTAGTGGTACCCCCCCATCCTGCAATGGTATTAGTCATTCATGCCCTGTGAAAGATACCTGAATGGCCAGCTTCAATATGCTTGTGTAGCTGAGACCTCATTCAAACACACATTTTATATTCTTGTGGAGCTAAATTCTCTTAGTGTGTGTGTACAGCTCCTCAGTTCCATGGCAGGCTGGGCTCCATTAAGTCATCAGAACTCCAGGGCACCTGTTTTTAACAGGTTACTCGGTCACTGAATAATGGAAATTAGTTTATTCTCAATTTTATAATTGACTGATGAATGTATTGGTGGTGATTGATTTGTCTTGTAATACTTTTCTGCTACTAAATTGAACTGTCTTAGCTTTTCCTTCTAGCACTTCTCAGACTGAATAAGACTTTACATTTATAGAGAGTGAATATTTTCTGATTTTTCCCCCTTATTATTCAGTCTACATCAAGGAAAACAATACAGCTTTCCAATGTGGGGAAAGCAGACCTCTTGACAGTAATTCAATTAACCCCTTCTACTCAGTGTGGACCACAAGCCAGCTGCATGAGCACCACTTGGGAACTTGTTAGAAATGCAGAACCTCAGGCCCATGAACAATCTGTCAAATGAAATTTTAACAAGCTCTCCAGGTTAAAAAAAAAAAAAATAGACCTCCCAGGTGGTCTATATATACATGAAATGTTGAGAACCACTGACCTCATCACCTCAGCTATGGTAACCAACCAATATCATTAATAATTGGCAAATTAAAGCATTTCTTCTTTGACCCTCATTTACAGACTAGAATTGCGGGATGAAGTAAAGGTCCTGGATGTTCATAAGGATAAAAACGAATGCACCTTACAATTTTCTGTGAGGCCATATAACATGGATGGTGTACACAAAACAATAGAAAGCCAAAAAGAGGCAGTATCATCCCAGTCAAATTTAAAAAGCATCCACTTTCATAGTTTTGAGTCACCTGAGAGTCCTGTCTTAGATTTTTTCATTTTCCTTTATGCTGGCAGGGCTTCAGACTAGCAGGTGGTCCCTCAGGCTGGGTCCCTTGGGCGCCCAGCGGGCTCTCTGCTCAGCGCTGACAGAGCCACATCTGTGTTCCTTCCTTGAGAAGCTCAGCATCCACACAAGGGAACTCTCCTCCCCTAGAGGAAACTGGCCAGAGAAGTTAGTTTAACTGTCAAGACACATTCCTAATCTCTTTTTCAACCAATTCAGAGAGACTCCAAAGTGAGCAAGGAAAGAGGTGAATCCTGATATTGGCACCATAAATCGATATGTACCCAGAAACAGTTATGTTCTGAACTAATGGCTTTAACCTGTTCATTGTAAAAAGTGCCTTGGACTTCAATCTAAAGAGGTCAGTATAAATATATATGTGTGTGTGTGTGACTTATGTAGGCAAATATTTACATATTTATACATACATAGGTGCACACACATGTACCCGCACATTCATATATAATATATACATACATATATAAGCGCTTCGTAATATATCACATTGCTATTCGCAGCTCCATTTCTTTTGTCTGGTTCTATGTTTGTTTAGTGAGACCTTTACATAGAGAGGTTCTATTCAGGACATCGATGTATTTTTTTGTTTGTTTTTTACTTTTTATTAAAAAGGTAAAGGATATTAAAAAAAAAAAAAAAAGTCAAGTGCCTGAAGGTTTTGAATGGAGTTGTGGTAAACTTTCTCAGGTCACCAAAGAGGAAACGGAATTTTCCTTTGGGAAACCGTTTTTCCTCTTTGGGAACTTCGTTTTCCAAAAACGGAAGTGCGTAAATAAGAGTGGTTCCAGCAATTTTGGACCTTTCATTTTAACCCATTTCTGAGGTCTCCAGATACAACAGCAAACATCTTGCTTGGTCTAGTGCCCAGTTCTCTTCACAGGCCAGGCCCACTCTTCCCAAGCTGCGCACGGTTTGGTCATCGGTTATTGTGTTCCTCACTGAGACTAAATTGCAGGGGTGGGTCCAGGTCAGCTTCAAACATTGCTTCCTTCCAGCAGCACACGCACGCACAAACGGGAAGTCTCTCCAGGCAGGAACTGTCTGAGAAGCCTGACACGGTGACCTTTCCAGGGCGCCCATGCCGGGCCTCTCTGTATTAACACAGTCACGTGTATCAACCAGCCACACCTCTTTCTCTGGTGGGACAGCTTGCAAGGGACCCCAGCTCTTTGGTTAGAAGCCCCATAACTCCTGGGGAGTCTCCAGGTGCCCACAGTCCTGCTCATGATTAAGAAGGCATTTTACTTCTTTACACCGGCTAGATCTCTCCAGCTCCCTGCCCCGCTGGTGACACCCACAGACAGCCAGGGTTGGGCCAGAGAAGGAATGCCCTGTTCACATTGTCAATCAGGAGAGACACTGCAAGATATCAAAGGGGACCACAAAGATGACAGGTCTCTCTAGTTGTCCCCACAGCTGCAACCACATCTGTAGAATGTGACAAAAAGGTTTAGCAGCCAAGAGACGGGAGGTGAAATTCTCCAAGTTGAAATCTCCATACTTTCACTTTCCTCCCCATGAACTTTTTTGTAGTACTAGACCAAAAAAAAAAAAAAAAAAAAAGGACAAGAAGAGGGATGTTATTTAGGTGTTTTCAAATATAATATCTAATATTTGGGGCTTTTTCTAAGTTAGCAGACCTAACTCATATTTTCAAAAACATATCTAGCTATATCTCTGCTGTTGTTCATTCCTTAAAACTCTCTTATAAAAAAATTCCTTATGAATGGAGACATTTACCAACTCAGTGATTACTGAATAATAATACCTTGGACTTAAAAATAATACCTTTCATCTACAGACCTCAACAATCAATAAATTAGTTGTTACCCTGGGAGGTGGAAGCCAGATATTATCTCTCACTGAGTGAGAGAAAACCAAGCAGCAAACATAAGTCAGGAATTAAACTGAAAATACAACCTAGGTTTTCTCACTACATTTTGAGAGCAAATGGAAACTTGGTGACTCAACTCTATTGCTGGTCACCTTTGGATGAATGAGATGGAGAACACCGACCACATCTTGTCAAGACTTGGTTTGGGGCTGTTGGAATGTGAGTGCTAGCTAGGCTGGTCTGTGGGTTTGGAGACCTGGGTGCAAGGCAAAGTGTGGGAGCAAAGTGAAGGTGGGTTGAGTCTGTGGCCTTCCCTCTTCCTCTTCAACTGTCGGAGAGAGAGGGCATTTAAAGAATGTTCTGGCAAATGCTGATACAGTATAATGACATGAAATAAAAACAAGAAGGGAACTGACTCAAACCAAAAACACAAATGCAATGACTGATTTCCTTTAACTTGATCTTCTTCCTTCCCCGAGTCTGCGATGGGGAAACAGGAATTTTTAAAGGAGGAAATCTTAATTTAGACCAGAGCTGTCTTCTGGAAAAGGTTATCTCTTTAAACAAGGCCATGATTGCCCTGGTTTTGATAGCAACGTCTGATTGAGAGATTGGCCCTGCCAACATGAACAGTTCAATACCTAACCCAGTTTTCACAAGCAAGAAAGTGAGGCAAATGGCTGTTCATCATGAGACTCTATAGACACACTGATGTATAAGGCAAACCTGCAGTTCTGTTCAAATAAAGGATCAGGCAGTTAAACACTTTAAACACTACAATCGGTCCTTTTAGCTCAACCTTTGCTTCACACGGGAATCCCCTGAAAGCTTTTGGAAACACCCATGCTCGGCCCCCAACCTCTGGAGATTCAGAAGCTGAGCAGGGCAGTGCCTGGGCCTTTCCCTGAAGTACCCTCCTCCCCGCAGCGCCACCGCCCCGGCCAGGTGATTCTGGGGCACCCACAGGGAGACCCCCCAGCACCTGGGCAGGATGTGCACTTTGAGTTGGCAAGGAGTGGGGGAAGGGAGGACCAGAGATGGGGCAAGATTTTACAAAGACCATGATTTGCTTGACGCTCCACTCCTTTCCATCTTGGTCTCATTTCTTCCCAATTCTGGACCCATGAAACTGCGCTAATTTGCATTCAGGCTCCACACGGACCGGCAAACAACGATGCCAGGTTATTATTCACTCAGAACCTTTTGGCTTTGCTGCCACAGCTTCTGCTTTTTCAGGCACAGCAGTCTGTCTGGGCTTAATATCTTTCTTTGTCCTGAGTTTTGGATGAGGATGGGGGAGAACTCTCCCCACATTTTTCATTAGGCAAAAAGGTTAAGGTTTAAAATCATGTTGTCCTTGCTAGCAGCTGTCTGCTAAACCTGACACAAAAACTACTACATTTAACCATTTAACTACTACTAACTACATTTAACCATTAAGTAAAATGTTGTCTCCTATCCAACGTTACACACTGCTGGGAAAGGTGAGAAAACAGGACACACTAGATGTCAAGATGGGTCCAATTCTCCCAACCGGACAATTCTGCTAAATTCAGGACCCTCTGCGTAAGGCCGCCCCCTGCAGGTCAGACGGAAACACAGCAGCCTGAGGGAACAGGACACTCATTGGCCGCAAGGGAAAGGCTGCTTTGTGTCATGTCCCTTATCTCACACAAAGGAAATAGAGGACGAGGCGAAGTGATTTTACCCAAATCAATAGGAAATGAGAACTGGAACATGGCTGTGCCATGTTGAGAATGACATCGCTACTAGTGTGGAAAGCTGGGACCTGCCCAGAGCTTCTCCATGATCTTGCTAAATTCATCCTCTTAGTCAATTATCAATTTTGCAAATGTCAGATAAAAATAAAAGGCCCTGCTTCACCACACACACGTTCTCACACACAGACACACATCACATTATCACTATCTCACTGAAAACAAAGATGTGCATATCGTGGCTGGCTAAATTAATTCCTCGTGAACTTTGTATTGCAAAGGCATTGATCATTTTCAAAATTATCTGCCTTCAGTTTAAAGAATTCAGAGCTAATACTTGCAAATTTACAAGAACCCCCTACTGGTTAGGAAAAATTAAATTATATTATTAAGATGATGCAATTTTATATCCAACGTTACAGTGAATTATGCTAATGGTGGTCAAGGTTATTAATCTTTATTTCAGTCACTACTGCAAATAGCACAGGAATATTAGCCAAAATTAGCTTAATCTTTTTTTGTAGCATGATTTTGAAATTTACACTTTATTTTTTCAGGGACAAGTCACACTTAATAACATCTCTTAAAATGCAATCTGTTCCCTGGAAAACCAAAGGTAGAAAACACAAATGCAAGATGTTGCCGCTGCCTACGGGCAGTTTCCTCTTCACTGAGGTGAAGCTTCTTTCCAAATCTGTTCTGCCTCCTACTTTCCAACACTGGGGTATCACTTAAAAGCAATCAAGCATTTCTCAAGAAAGAATACATACAGAAGTGGGGCACCCACACCCCAGTCACTCATCATGCAAAATGTCAGGTCTTCTGTAAGCCGTGATTCAATTGCCCTTTCTTCGAACACCCTCCTCACCTCCCACCTCTTGGAATGCAGAAGGTAGATACATAGCTCAGTCTGAAGTTCAGAATTTAGGAATCTTAACAGATTTATACTTAAGATTTCCTAGAGAAATTTTTCTAAGAACAACAATGCAATGTTGTTCTTACAAATTCAGGAGCCTAGGACCCTAGGACCCTGTCTAATTTGGGTTCAATTGAGAAAATGATTGTCATGCATTGCCTTGACAGAACATTAACAAGAGGTGATGACATCCTCGGTTCTCTGGAAATATGATGAGAGGAAATGGTAGAGGACATTCATTCATTATTCAGTATCTCCACAGCCACATTCCTCCAGTTCTCCAGTCAATGGTACATGAGTTTTCATTCATTCAGTCACCCTTCCCTCATGCATTTGGATGGGATTAATCCTATTTCCAGACCTATGGTGAACCATGGCAGGTTTTTGGCATTTAAGGTACCCCAATATCCAGGCAAAGATACGGGCCCAAATGCGAGCAAGTGAATCCCAGAGCCAGCATTTGAGCAGGAGCTACCAGAAAAGAGAGTCTCCCCTTGGAGGGTATGCTAGAAGGGTTTTGTTAGGATCAGATGTGACTATTTTGTTTCACATGGGGGGGAGAGTCGGCTTGATTGGGATCCACCACGGGCAACATGAAAATGAAGCAAAGACCATAGAAGGCAGAGAGGAGAAATGGTGACTTTGGCAACAACCTTGGTGCCACTGAATCTTCTACCTGGACCAGTGAGTTTGCTTTATAGTGAAGCCATTTGGAGGTGGATTTTTGACCACATCCAACAGAGTCCTGGTGGAGAACCAAACTTCTGTACCTACATCTCATTTCCCAGAGGAGTAGCCAAAATGAGAATTAAAGGAAAATGCCTATTTCATAGTTCTAGCATTTAAAAAAGTTAAAACACAAGAATTAAACAGGATAACAAGAAAATTGGAAATGTCAAAATTGACTTTAGGGTACATCTTGACCACCAAGGAAGAAAAGAACTTCAGAAACTGATTCTGGTAAATGAACCAATTTGGTTTTTACAAGAAGAGACTAAAGGAGGCAATGAGCTCTCAGTCAGATGGGGGTGATGGAGGAAGAGTGAGCTGGTTATAGTTTGGAAGGAAGAGAAATATTGATAACTTCAGAATTTGATAATTAAAATGATAAAGTACTAATATAACTGAAATAG